ACATTTTGAAAGTTTCCAGTTATTATTTCATAGAATTAGAAAGTACCTCATTTGCATGTGAGAAAACTAAGGGCCAAAGAAGTCAAGTCACCCTCATGTTGGACCTTGGACTGAAAGCCCGGTGTTGCCAATTCTCTTCTCACTGACGGCACTGCCATTGGGGCCACCTTCATAGGTACCGTGGATAGGGGAACACCTAGTGGGCAACTCGGGAGTTTAGGGTTGCTCCTGTCTTCATAGCAAAATCTCCTTCATTGCTTGAGATTCCCCCTTCCCTTGGGTGGAATTCAAGGAGTCCATTTGGAGATGGATTCATAACCATTTGTTCTTGAGAAATGGAGGCCTTTGACATCCCAAAAGAAAGGGAAGAGGAGAGGGAAAAAAAAAACTGATTACCTGTCCCTGTTTCCCTTTTTTAATGTTCCATACCTGGTAAGTTCTTCCTGGTGTCTAACCTAATGAAAACCTGTCATCTGTGCAGTTTAGTGGCAAAGGAAAGAAACTCCAGCCAGGCATTCTGTGTGCTCACTTAATTCTGAGGATTTCAGAGCTCTCGACAAGCAGGGGAAACCCTTGAGCCTTCCTTCCTCCTCCTGTGCTATCTTCAGTGGGCATGGGAGAAGTAATTTAACTTGCAAGTTAAGCGAAGGCTGTGGGAGGCCCCTGAGCTCAAATTGAAGGGAAAGGGATATTTTTGCCTTCTAGAGGAAGAAAACTCATTTCCCAAGGCACCTCCACCCCTCCTTCTGTGCAGATGAGCTTAATTTTCTTCCCCTCCTAATGAAGATGGATCAAAGCCAAGCTATATATTCAAGGGGGAGCCAGGCAGGGGAGCTAAGTGAAGGGGTGAGGGGACAAAAACAGAGCTGCTCTCATGGAGAGGAAGTAATTAATTTTAAGAGAGAGCAAAGATAGGGAAGCCCTTGGTAATAGAACGTTAAATTCCAAATGCAGGTGGCTAAAAATTAAATCAGAGCATATGGAGTTTCTTTTGTTCATTCATTCATTCACTTATTCATTCAACGAATATTTATTGGGTACCTACTGTGCACAGGCAGAGACCCCAAGCAGGCATCAGGAGAGGGCCCAGCTCTCCATAACCACAGCAGGGCTCCAGTAACTGGATTAGGGACAGGGAGAGGTGGGATCTGGAAAGTGAAGCCACTTGTCATCAGGATAAAGCATTCGCAGAAGTACCACCAGATGGCTGAATATATTGACCTTTGGATTTAGGATTAGTTGCTTGAGTACCAGCAGCTGTTGACCCCAGCTATATCCACCCAGCTTGACTCATCACGGGTTAAATAATTATGTTGTCCTTTTCCATTCACTGATTGCTTTGTTCTCTGACTGAGTTCTGTCCTCAATCCAAAAAATTAGATTAGCTCCTCCCTTTCAGTGTCTGTTGACATCACAAAATTGCCATAACAACAGACTATGATGTCACCAGAATGCCTGGTGCTGCTGAAAGGAACCACACATTGGTCAGAAAGGATTCTGTCATCCAAAGATAAAAATGGAATGATATCAAAAGCCAGAGGAACTGAAATTTGATATCAAAAAAGAACATCTAGGCAGTATAAGATAACAGTGGGTCTGGAGCTTCCTTTCCTGGAATCCTTCACAAACAAACAAAGCACTTATTGAGACTGATTGGAGAGCAGGCTTGCCTGGAGGCAGGGGCTTGGAAGAGATGACCTTCAGAAGCCCCTTGCGTGGAGGGCCCTAAGACACAGAGGACATTAGGAAAAGGGGAGATGCGACCATCTTCGATCTCTGGAGAGTTCAGAGTAGCTAACGACGATGCAAACCTCCCTGCCCCGAGCAGATCTGACAGTTTCCAGCTGGAATGTATTATATTGCAGCTGGGCAGATTTACAAAAATAAACACATGGTGACCCCGTCTGAGCCACATTTGCTACCCTCTTCCTCATAAGATTTGGGAAGAAGCTTTTCTTCCATTTCACCCAAGCAGAGAAGCCAGTCCTCGCCACCAGCTCTGGCTCCATGACACCCACGCCCATGTGCCTCACTTGCCCTTCATCTGCTGGGCCACCCCAAGAGGAGGGCAAGCAACCTGGGGCTGTGTCTGAAGGGAGTGTGTAGGGGGATGCTGCAGACAAGCTTCGTGTTCATTATGCTCCTGTCCGTACGGAAGGCTGGGCAGGCTGGGAGGAGAGAGAGCTTCCCGGCATCGGCAGCAACGATAACAGCAGCACGTGAACCTGGAGCCTCACTTAACCCTTGTGCCCACTGGGTCAAAAGGGTCTCTGTGAAGCAAGTGGATTTCAGCCCAAGGGCCTGTGTTCTGGGCGAGGGGAGGCAGGGAGGGCTGTCTTCCTGCAGGTTGGGCTGGCATGGGTTTCTGCCGTGCAGATGGGAATGCAGCCCCAGACTCCTCCGTCCGCCCAGCTACTCTGCGTCCTTAGCTCGGTGAGGTCAGACTACCTGGAAGTTGTACACCTGCTCCGTGTACTCCGTCTCTCCGTTTTTGCATTTTCTCCTTGGGCACCTGACCTGAGAAGATGTCATCTCCTGCTCACTTATTCTGCCTCTGGCACTCTGCCGGGCAGCGTTCTGTCTGAATGCTGGGAAGCTGCAGACCCCCTAGGGCACCTGGGCACCCCTACCACCACCCAGGGAGAGGCCCTCCCCCTTCCTGGTGCTGGAGCCAGGAGGAGGGGAAAGAGCAGCGCCTGCCGCTGCCACGTGCACCTGGAGCTCAGCCACGGCACGGCGAGCCGGACCGGAGGACTTACTTCTCAGAGGGATGGTACGAGCAGGGTGGCTGGTGGGTCCTCTGAGGCTGCCAAACAGGGGACAAAGCTGCCTAAAAGATGTTGAAGTTTCGAGCTGATCGACGGGTCAGGTAGGGATTTCTTCAGTGGGCTGTGAGTCAAGTGAAGTGAGAGCTGAGCGGGCAGGTCACTGGATCCGGGGGCGTCAGAGTGAGAGGCCTGCCCCGTGTGACCTGGAGAAGGGAGAGCAGTTAGGTCAATGGTTGCTGCATTGCAGTGTTTGTGAAGGGGAAGCTGTTTTGAAATTGGTAGCGCCGGGATGGAGCGAGGACGTCATTTGTAGGGGTAACTGGGTAGGAGAGTCTGGGGCAGGAAGGAATTTGGTGTCCTCTGAAAGACTTGTACCAGCTGACAGCAGACTGTGTGTGTGCCTCTGTGTGTGTCTGTCTCTCCGTCCATCTGTCCATCTGTACCAGTGCCTGCAGGAAAGGTTCCAGCAGAGTTAGCACAGGGAATGTGTACAGCAGAATGGGCCAAAGGGGACGGAATGGGTGGAGGGGTGTCAGGGTGCCCCCTGTGATCTGTGCCACTGGGAAACAGCAGAGACCTTTGTGCCTCAAGGATCTTAGCTGTCACAGACTGCCTGCCCCCACCCCTAGATGAGGCAGAGCCAGGGATGAGGGTGACTGGAAACGGCTCCTGTCCCTTGCAAAGATCCCCTGTGGTTAAGTTGAGGAGAGCATCCTTATTGGACCTGGGAAGAAGGGAGGAGTAGAGTTTGAGAAGCAGGGAGCGGGTTATCAATGTGCTAGAGTTAGAACCCAGGCCGAATAGACACTGGCCAGATTTAGGGTCCTGGCTGCAAAACCAGATTTCCACAGAGGCTGTGGCCACTGCCCACTGGGCTTCTGTCTCCCACATGTCTTTGGATTCGATCTGAACATGACTGGTTTGGAAGCTGAAAAAATACCCTCCGATATGATCTTTAGCTTCAGCAGACGTCTTAAGGGCTGGGAAGCATCCTCGGCAATGGAAGGGTGCTCTCCAAAAGGTTGTTTTACTTCTCTCATGCAGCTGAAGGGACCACACTGTTTTCCCCTGGTGCTAGCTAACCTGCCACTTGCCAAGCAGAGCGCTGGCCCTTTGCTGTGGGAGTGCGTGGTGGCCTGGTATTAAGACCCACAAGCCGCCGTGCAGCCTTGGTAGGCTCTGTGCGGGCACCAGCTTCTGGGGGTGGACTGAGCATGCTCTGGGCTCTCACAGTATCTCCCAAGAGGGGTAGGTGAAGAGGACCTTAAAATTGTTCCAGCCCCCCGCTGGCTGCACGCTTGAATCTCCCACAGCTTTCTTGCCAGGTGGCCCTCTGCTTTCAGAATCCGTCTCAAGCCATTTATGGCTTAGACCCTCTGCACCAGCCCCTCCCTAAGCTCTGTCCGCTGCCCTTCCTCCCTTACCTCCCTGCAGAGCCACCGGGAGCTAGCGTGGAAGCCAGCCAGCCAGAAGGGCCACAGCTCCCAAGGGAGCCTCCCATCTGCCTCTGCACAGACCCCGGCCCTGGCCCATGTTCGCCCCTGCTTCCTGGCAGGCTGTCCGCACTACCCTCCCCGGCCACAGCATCCCTTAATTAGATCGGACTGAGAGCCAGCACTCACCTCAATGCTGGACAGCTCCTGAGGTGTCGGCTAGTCAGGTAGCCCCTAGACGGGGAGGCCCTGGACTTGGGGTGTGAGTGGAGCCCAGCCCAAGCTCAAGGATGGAATTTCTGGATGTCTCATTTCATTTGAAGAAAGAGATAGAGCAGGAGAGGAAGGAGTCCAAGGTTGCAAGAGAATTCTTTTAGCAAATAATGAGTGAGCGGTTTTTATGTGGAGCCCTGGCAGGAGTTGTCCCTGGGAGGGAACCAGCCAAACACCAAGTCTTGACTATTGGAGCCCCTCCCCGCCCCCCACATACATGCCCAGGATGGCCACTGAAAGGGTTAAGTGGGGTTTCTTTCCAGCCTGGGGATCTCTAGTCAGTAATTAACACTGTCAGAAAGACATCTTCCGCCCCCTCCCGTCCCCTCCCCTCCCTTCCCCTCCCCAAATGACCTTCTACAGCCCAGCCCTCTGTCTTGCGGCTTACGGTCCCACTGGAGGACAGAGCAACGAGCTCCTGTGTGGTCGCCATCCCTGTCACTGCCTAGGGCCTGTCCACCCTTTAGCCTGTGTCTCTGCCTTCTTCGTCTTGACCACAGCTTCTCTCTCTCTTTTGCCTCCACAGCCATAATGAAAGACGGAACACATTTCTACACCCACTGACCGGCCAGGTCCCAGAGGAAAACAAAAAGTTTGACTTGAAAATGTACGTTTACCCCTTACTTGCTGTTTGGCCTTTCCGTCCTTAACCACCATCATCCCGCTGCCTCTGTGTAGCTAGGAAGAGGAAGGGTGTGGGGGTCAGAAAGGAGAGGAGGAGAGGTTTAGGGTCGCTCACCTCGGTTCTGAGGACTGGAAACTCCTGAGACCCATCTGGCTTGATACCCTCAACCACTTTTTCTGGAATCTTGCAGGTCCCAGGTTAGTGCATCCCACGGGCTGAGCTAAAGGAGTGAGGCGTGTCTGAGGCTGGCATATCAATCACCAGGGGCCTCTGAGGAGAGCGGTGAGGGAACCTGCTATGACCACGAGAGCCAAATGCTAATTCCTCTGATGTTGGCTCGGTAAACGAAAGGAAAAAAAGATAATTAAATGACTCTCATAGTCCGAGTTCCAGAGTCCTAGGGTCTAGGTTTTTAAGATAAATTTGCAGGAGAAAAAGAGGAGACTGTCCAGGGTTACTGGCATATAATCTCGGAAAAGCAGCGGGAGCCGCTGAGAGGACCCCTTGGGACCACTGAGGGGACCTAATTTGTGCTGAAGGCTGGAACAGTGAATGGCGGGGTTGGGAAAAGGGATGGGTGGCACCCATTGTCTCTTGGTCTCACTAGCCACTTCTTTTTTGGTCAACTTGAAATCAGATCGACCTTGGACATGTCCAATAAAACAGGTGGGAAACGCCCAACTACCGCCAACAGTGACCTATCCAACCACAACATGGTGTCCGAGGTCCCTCCAGAGCGGCCCAGTGTCCGGGTAAGTCTGGTCCCCCACGCAAGCTGCTGCGGAGGAATCCTAGGAAACGTATTAGGCTGCTTACTTTTTTCTGCAGGTTCCAAAGAGCAGGTGACGTGATGCAGGAAGTGGAGAGTGGGGAGGAAAGAGGGCTCAGACCAGAACCATACAGAAGACCAACATCTAGACCAGGGGTCCTCAGCCTTAGCACTATTAGCATTGGGGGCTGGATAATTCTTTGTAGTGTGGGACCATTCTTTCTCTGTAGCATGTTGAGCAGCAGCCCTGGCCTCTACCCACTAGATGCCAGTAGCCCCCGCCCTGTGACAACCAAAAATGTCTCCAGACATTGTCAAATGCCCCCTGTGGGACAAAATTGCCCCACCCTCACTGAGAACCACTGATCTAGGGGGACAGCGAAAGAAGAATAACTCATGAAGAATGACAATTGTGTGCTCAGAAAGGAGGAGGAAGGAAGAGACCATCAGGAGGAAGTAATCAGAGAAGAATGTTGCAAAGAGGTCCAGTAAGATAAGGGCTAAAAGTATCCATGGCGTTTAGCAACATCGTGGTAATTGGAGACCCTGATAAGAGCAGTTCAGTGGTGTGAGGAGCGCAGAAGACAAAGACAAGCTGGAGAGGGCTTAAGAGGAGATGGGAGGGCGGATACAGGACACTGAAGAGTAGAAAACTGCTCTTCTATGAAACTAGATAGGGCTTCCCTGGTGGCGCAGTGGTTGAGAGTCCGCCTGCCGATGCAGGGGACACGGGTTCGTGCCCCGGTCTGGGAGGATCCCACATGCCGCGGAGCGGCTGGGCCCGAGAGCCATGACCGCTGAGCCTGCGCGTAAAAAAAAAAAAGAAAGAAAGAAAGAAACTAGATAGTAAATGGGAGTGTAGTCATACAATGGAGGACTCTCCAAAAATTAAAAATGGACTGGAGCGAGCTGTATAACAAGGATGAACCTTAACAACATAATGCTGAGGAAAAAGCAAGTTGTAGGATATGAAAAACATGGTATCATTTATGTAAAATGTACAAACATGAAAAGTAATTCAGCGTTTTTATAGATAAGCTTGCAGTACAAGCATATAACCATGGACAGGCATACTAATTTGTGGTCAGTGGTCACCTCTAGGAAGGAAGAAAAGGTAATGAGATTGGGGAGGGGGTTCAAAGGGAGTTTCAGCTCTATTTGCCATGTTTTTTTAGGGGAAGAAAACAACATGCAGTGGTGATTTAGTCCCTACTTTTCTGAAATGTTTGAAATATTTCCAAAAAAATTTTTTAAAGAAACTTGACCGTGAAGGGAAATGAGGGGTGGAGGGTAGCAGCTAGGAGATATGCAAGATGCAGGGAGGTTTTTTCTTTGTTCATTTTGTTTTGTTTCAAGGTGTTAAGGGCAGGAGGGGAATGACCCAGTAGGTAGTTTCAGGAGAAAGGGCATCGCCAATGAGTCATGTTTGTGTAGAGGCAGGAGCCAGGTGCAAAGGTGCTGTCAGCCTGGATAGGGGAGGGGCCCTCTTCCTGAGGCTGTGTAAGATAGGTACATGAAACGTGGCGGTGGGGCTAGGAAGTTCAAGACGCTCCCACCTGTTGTTTTCAACTTTTGCAGGGAAGTAGGAGGTAGGGTTTTCTGCTGAGAAGAGTGGGGTTGATAGAGAGGCATTGGGGGGTGGGGGGCTTCAGAATAAGCCCAAGGGTCAGTGGTCAACAAGGAACATTTGGAATATTGCCCAATAATACTGAAGGGTCACCTGAGGTCATAGACTGAATCTGTGTGGCTCTGATCCACAGGTGTGTGTGGTTTTTCTCCAGCAATGCTATGGCCTGGCAGATGGTTGCATTGACCTAAGGTTGAGGGTTGCTGGGAAGCTGTGGCAGAAAGATAAGGAGGCTAGAGTATTACTGAGGGGTTGGCAGGGGAATGGCTGAAGTGGCAGGGAGCAGCTTTTAGGCTGCAGAGAGCAGGTGAAACTATGACAGATGACGGACTGAGAGAAAAGGGAAAGATTTACATATTCTGAGGGTGGTGGATGACTTCTTCAGATGGCTGATCTCCGCCATTATATGTGGGTTTTTACAAGTAAAGTACAGAAAATAATTTCATTTTCCATTTCGGGAGGTACTTTATGATAAACCCCAGTTTCTTCTTTCCTTCCTTCTACAAGTATTTACTAAGTGCTTATTGATAGCTGGACACCTTGCTAGGCTCTGGTAATAAAGAGATGAACAAAACAAAATTTCTCCCTACAAAGAGCTCTCAGTCTCGTACGGGAGACAGAAAGTCCACAGCTCTGCTGCAGCGCGACAGATTCTAGACTATGGGAAGTTTCTGAGAAGAGGGAGCAACAGCTACTCTGGGAGAACAGGGGCGTTTCGGGGACTAGGGGGGCCTGCACTAGGCTGTGAAGGATGAGTTGGGATGTGGTAGTGGACAAGGGGAGTGGGGTTCCCCCGCCTCCCATGGTGAGCAAAGCCCTAGGGAGATGGGAGAGAACCACTCGGAGTTTGGCATGACCAGCGGTGGTGCCTTTCCGGTGGAGTGGCAGAAAGTGGGTGGTGGCCCAGCCAGATCTCGTAGGCCTGTCCTTGTATGCTGTGCTGAGGACTGGAATTCTCTCCTGAGTGACGAGAGGTAGTGAGAAATTCTAAGCAGAAGAGATGACAACCCGTGAGGCACCAACAGCGGCATTGGAGAAGAAAGGACAGGCTTGAGATCCATTAAGAAGACAGACTTGTCAGCCCTGCGTAAATGATGGTGTGGAGGAATGGAGGGAGGAGGGGACGGTGTGAGCTTGTTCAGAGTTCTGGTTTGGGCCACTGGGTAGATTGTGGCCCAGTCACTGAGATGAGAACTACGGAAGAACCAGTTGGTTAGAAAGAGGATGAGTTTGGTTCTGCGCTTATTTAATCCTAGTTGGACAACTAGTGAGCAAATGGACTGGGACAAATGAATCTATATCTAGATTCATTCTAGCAAATGAATCTAGATATAGATTAGGGAGTTTTCGGCATATTGCTGGCAGCTGAGGCAATGGGTATGGATGACATTACACAGGCACAATATATGATGAGACTAAAAGCGTAAGTTTGAGGTCTGTCAACACTTAGAGTGGAGGTGGAGATTGAGAAGGACTGGCCACAGATGTAAATATTGAAGAGTAAGGAATAGTGCCCCAGAAACCAAAAGAAGAGTTTCGGGAAGGACAGAAAGGTTCGCATTATCAGTGCTTAAGAATGTCAGGGACTGAGTGGCCTGAGTTGACATCGCAGGGACCATTTCTGAAAGGAGTGGAGGAGGTTTAGGAGTAAAGGGAGGAGAGGAAGTCAGGACTCTTCCCAGCAGCCTATCTCTGAGGAGAAAGAGAGGGAAGGGAGGGAAGGTGTTACCTGACGGGGACAGCTGGTGGAGGGTGGACGGGGCTGTCAGGTGTGTGTGGGTGCGTGAGGGACAGTGAGAAGGAGGAGAGAGAAAGACTGAGAGAGACAGAGACAGACAGTGAGAGAGAGACAGACAGACAGAGGGATGCTTTAAGATGAAGAGAGCTGAGCATGTTTGCTTAGGAGAAGCAGCCAGTGGAGGAGGAAAAAATGAAGACAGATTTGAGAGGTTATCAATGAAGCAAGTTTCAGAGGAGACAGCAGGCTGGGCCCGATAGCCTTGGAAAGGAGGAAAACACCTCTTCTTCTGACATTGAAGGGAAAGAGAGACAAGGAGAGTGGTAAGGGCAGTAATTTTCTGGATAAAAGGGTGTGAAATTGAGGAAGCGCGTGTCTGACAACCTCAATTTTCTCTGTGGGGGCGGATCCAAGCCACTGCGGGGAAGGCAGTGGCGGGCAGGTCGCTGGGCTCGGGAGAGAGGTGAGGGTGTGCAGCGGAGCACCGGGGACTGAGGGGTCACGGTGGCCTCATCTGTACTGTGGTGTGATTGTTCTCCAGCAGCACTACAGTCTGGCTGAGTGCAGGGAGGGTGGATAATTTGATTAATCAGGGGTTTAGAGTTTCAGAGAAGATCAAGCGGAAAGGCACTGGATAGGGTGTTGGTGTTGGAGAGTGTGGTTGATCTATTCCACCAGGGGGCGTATTTGTAGGGAAACAACTAACACCAGGAGGTAGCTCATGGATCCAGGAAAAAAAGGCAAGTATTGAGGAGCTGGGGATCTCAATGGAGTAGAAAAGCTGGTGTCGTTGAGGGATGGAGTGAGACAGCCCAGAGGATGGGATGCTGTGCTCAGAAGATAGGGATATGAGAATTGACAGGGGCTTGGGAGCTGGCCAAGTCTAAGGTGTTGCCAGCCATGGGAGTGAGTGGCTGGGCTGGAAGTGGAGGATTTTGGACTTGAGGACATCAAGGTAGTTTAAAGTTAGGCCACTGGATGGGTCATCCTCCCTCTCACTGTGGAGCAACGAAATTGTCCACAGTGATGGCAAGATTTAGAATGGAGAGGATGACTGATATCAAAATCCTTAGACTCGGGCTTCCCTGGTGGCGCAGTGGTAGAGAGTCCTCCTGCCAATGCAAAGGACACGGGTTCGTGCCCCGGGCCGGGAAGATCCCACATGCCGCGGGGTGGCTTGGCCCGTGAGCCATGGCCACTAAGCCTGCACGTCCGGAGCCTGTGCTCCGCAACGGGAGAGGCCACAACAGTGAGAGGCCCGCGTACCGCAAAAAAAAAAAAAAAAAATCCTTAGACTCTGAGAAAAGAAGCTAGAAGCTAATAGTGGTGAGAAGGGCTAAACAGTGAAAGATCACTGATACTTCGAGAAAGAGAGATTGTTGCCAGAATGTGGGGAAGTCCCAGTGGCAATAAGGAGCTAGGAGAACACCCATACATCCTCCCTGCTCTGTGGTGTGTTGGACATTCAAGAATGAATAGGGGGCTTCCCTGGTGGCACAGTGATTAAGAATCCTCCTGCCAAATGCAGGGGACACGGATTCGAGCCCTGGTCCGGGAAGATCCCATGTGCTGCGGAGCACCTAAGTCCCTGCGCCACAACTCCTGAGCCTGCGCTCTAGAGCCCGTGAGCCACAACTACTGAGCCCACGTGCCACAACTACTGACGCACGCCTAGAGCCTGTGCTCCACAACAGGAGAAGCCACTGCACTGAGAAGCCCGCACACCGCAACGAAGACCCAACACAACCAAAAATAAATAAATAAAATAAATACATTTATAAAAAAGAAAAAAGAAAAGAATGAATTGGGCTTGGAGAATATGATGACATAGGGAATTTACTTGAAGTTGAATGGGTCTGAGAAAGCATTATGAAAGAGGTAAGGAGTAAGGCCAGTAGAGAAGGATAGGCCAGGAGTGAAATAAAAAGTCTTATTTTCTCCTTAAGAAAAAGCAAAAAACACACATCGCTGTGAGACAGGTAGGACTATAATTTTGAACCCCATTTTAGAGATAAGAAAAAGAGCAAAGAATTGAAAGGCCGTGCCCTTGAGTTAGTAAGAGATCCAAGCTTCTCACCTGGGCCTCTTAACATGAGGGCCGCCAGGGCCCTGGAGAGGGATAGCTCCCACCAAGGGCAGCTCCTCTTGGCGGGTGGAGCAGAAAGGAGGAGAGGAAGAGTTAAGCTGGCTGCTCTCTGCATCCCTAGGCCACCCGGACGCCCCGCAAGGCCATCGCTTTCGGCAAGCGCTCGCACTCCATGAAGCGGAACCCCAGTGCTCCTGTCACCAAGGCAGGCTGGCTTTTCAAGCAGGTGAGGCCTCCTATTCCATTCTGCCCACCGCATCCCTGCTTTCTCCTCATAGCGCTGTAATTCCTCTGTAGTTATAACAGCCCATGTATATTTTGCTATATCCCTCCAGGTTCTATTTTGGTATATCTCTGCGAAATCTCCTAATTTAATAAAGGCTCAGAGAGGTTGAGTATCTTCCCAAAATCTCACAGAGAAATTAGTGTTATATTTGGGAATTCAGCCAGGTCTCCTGATGGGCAGATGCAATGACTTTGAAATATGCTGTCATCAACCCTATCAGAGCAACCCAGTGGCTCAGTCAGCAGGGCCCTTTTGCTATGAAGGGAGGGGGATGTCTCCTCTAAGTCTAGGGGTCCAGCTCTCCTCGTTGACCTGGCCATTATCCCTGCCGGACCTTCTGCTCACCCTTTCTGGCTCATCGCTGCACCGTTTTTCTTCCCTGGGGGAGACACTGAGGCCCAGAATGACGGAAGTGGAAGGTCACAGGCAATAATGTAATGTCATTCCCTGCCTCTGAGGGCTCTTGGGGGTTGCTGCCACTTGTTAGTCGCAGAGCTGCAAACAGAGGCAGGATGTCCTTATAATGAGTGCAGCACTCTTTCCACTGCACACACCCACCTCCCCAGGCCCAGGTCACAGACTATCCTGTCTATTCCCCACTTCTCCTGCAGGCCAGCTCCGGGGTTAAGCAGTGGAATAAGCGCTGGTTCGTCCTGGTGGATCGCTGCCTCTTCTACTATAAAGGTGAGCTTGCGCCTGGCACTGGCAGGGGCTGTGGGAAGCCAGGGCCCCCTCTTTCTCATTCTGCCCTGTCACAGGGCTCGGTTTCTGATGGATGTTGGGGGTGGGGGGGCACATATCCCCCCTGTGGTCTCCGGCACCAGTGGCACGTGACAGGGGATAAAGACAGAGCTCGCATTCACTCACTCATTTCACACTCGGCAATATTTACTGAGTGCCTACTAGATTTCAGGCAGAGTTCTAGGCCCTGGTGGGTGGTGTGATGGATGAACAAGACAGTCAGATGACAGAGGGTGAAGTCCGGGGGAGGGCGTGGGTGGGAAAAGAAAAGGAGGAAGAAGACGAGGGTCCCTGGTCATCACTAGAGGTCACCTGCTAATTGGACCTTGTATGTTGAGCTTCCCCCATCCCACTGGAATGTATGATCCGATCTGTGTAGGCAGGAGTTTTGGGTCAGTTTTGTTCACTGCTGTATCCACAGCACTGAAGACAGCACCTGGCACATAGTAGGTGCTCAGTGAATGTGGAGTAAATGATTATCCCCCAGCTTCTGCCCTCTTTGCCTACCCCAACACTCACTCCCTTTCCTCCCCCACAGAAAGGAGGGCAAAACTCTTATAACTTTGGTGCAGCAGCCTCTAGGAAGTTATTTTTAAAGTATGTACAGCAACGATATGTCAAGGAGGGCAGGGAGGAACTAGTGAGGGTTGATGACAGTGACGGTTCTGTCACACTGATGCTGTGCGACGAGGCCTGGGCGCTGAGGAGAGGATAAAATGATCTAGCAGCAAGAGTGGCTGTTTCCTTTTCCTCCATGCCCTGGGAATGGCAGAGCTCTGATTCCTCCAGGTCTCCTGGGAGCAATTCACTGAATCATTAACTTTGGCAAAGGTTGTACCTAGTGACCACCCGCCCCCCCCTCCGCCCCCGCCCTTAGAACACTGCTGTCCCTGTGCCCTGAGGCACCTGAATCCCAAGGAGAGAGATCAGGAAGGGGATGCACGTCCAGGGTCTAGTCACAGAGGAAACCCCAAGATTGAGGGAGAAGAATCTGCTCAGGCTGGGCCCCTGGATGTAGGGCCGCACCGGAGCCAGAGTATAACAAAAGCTGGAGGGAAAGCCAGGGTCTCTGCAGGGAAGACACTCTGGGCCTGGTGTAAGGGGAGAACATTAAGAAGCTCTGAACTCAAGGGGCATGGAGATGGAGGGTCACTATGCACTGAGAGGTGCTCTCAGGAGACCCTTAGACACTGGCCTGGGCTCAGCCAGGCAGGGGGCCCACCTCCTCCTGGGGATGATGGCCTCTGCCTTCCTGAAGAAGCTCTGGGCTCCCAGCCCTCCTGTCCCTTTAGCTTAGTCCATCCTCTGGGTACCATGCCAAGGTCTGTCCAGGAAACTGGACCTTGTACAAGTGACGAGTAAGGGGAGAAGGGGAGCTCGTGGAGTCTGTAACCCCTGTGAGCTTTCTTCTGAACCCTAGCTGAGGGTTTTACAGGGTCTCTAGACCCAGGAATAAAGAGCTATCCCAGGGAAGTGGGGAGGGTCTTGGCATGGCCTCATCGTTAGCCCCAGCCTCATGGTTCCCACACAGCACCCCTACCCTTCCGGTCTCCTGCTGATAGCTGGGGGCCTGACTAGCTAATCCTCCAGGCTCCTTTGGAGATTCAGGATGAATTATACAGCAGCCTGATTGCTCGCCTGCTTCTGGGGATCAGAGGGCGGGGGGGGGGGGGGGGGGCGGGTCTTTTGTGCAGACATGGGGACTGTAAAGGGGAGGGGTCTAGTCAGGAGAAGACAAAGCAAGCTGCCAGGTGCCTAGGAGAACCTTAGAGACAATTGCCCGGAAGAGCCCGAGCCGAAGATGCGAGCATCCCCTCTACCGCGCCCCATCCCATTATATCCTGTTCCGTGTGTCACTGTTGGGATCACCTTGTTTGGAGAGGCGCTGTGGATGGGAGGGAGGTTAAGAATTCTAGAGCTCCAAAGTCAGACTTCTTGGGTTAAAGACTAATCCACCACTTTCTACTTAAGTAACCTTGGACAACTTATTTAATCGTTCTGTGTCTCAACCTCCTTGCCTATAAAATGGAGATCATGAGTGCCCGTTCATAGGATTGTTGGGCAGGTTAAATCCATTAAGCCTTTAACTTAGAACAGTGCCTGACATATAGCAAGCGCTCCAAAATGTTGGCTCTTCTGTGCTTGTTTGCTTCCATACGGGAATGTGAGCTCCCCAAGGGTGGGCACTACTACTCTCGCATTCATCTCTACAGTCCCCAAGTCTAGAACAGTGCCTGTAGGGCCGCCACGCTCCCCAGCTCCAGGGAGTGTGCCTCTCGCTGTGCAGAGCACGCCCTGTGTGGTTGTGTGGTGGCCCCGAGCGCCTGACAAATAGTAGACGAGTAACAGACATTTGCTGGTAGTTATCCTAATAGGGCTGATACACTCCCCTCCCCTCCCCCCCGCACACATACATCTCACTTGTGCCTCTATTTCCTTTGACAGATGAGAAGGAGGAGAGCGTCCTGGGCAGCATCCCCCTCCTGAGCTTCCGGGTGGCTGCGGTGCAGCCCTCAGACAACATCAGCCGAAAACATACCTTTAAGGTCAGTTGGCCTTCCTCTCCCAGGTCAGGTAGGGGCGGGAGGCCGGCTCTTCTAGAGCATATAAGAATGAAACAGGATCAAGAGCCACCTCCTCAGGAACCCCAAGTGGTAGTACTGGGGGGAGCAGGCAGCGGTCCCTGGGCTCAGTGCAGGCTGTTGTGAGGCTGTGCCGGGACCCCTTCCTCTTCTCTCCCCAGGGTGGGCCTATAGAGATGAGCTTCAGTGGTACCACAGTCTTTCCTGGGGGAGAATTAGTTATGTGCTGAGGCCATGGACCCTCTGCCCGGTGGCCTGGCACCTAGGAAATCCCTCACAGCAGAGGCAGGAACTGTGGCCGGGTGGGTTTCTAAGATCCATTCTGGAAAGTCTTCCTCCCCACTTTGGGCCCAAGGAACTAGACCCCCAGTCAAACTTACTCAAAGGGTCTCAGATGTAAGTTGTTCACTACTATTCAGTGTACGGCACGTTCCCACTGGCCCATGTAAGGGCCCTCCATTTGTCATTTGTCCTCACTTTCCTTTTTATCCCTTTGCCCTTCAGCCCTGCTGCCTGCACCCTGTCCCCTCTCCAGCCCTTGTCATGGGCCAGCACCCTAGTCTTTTTGCCACCTTGTAAAATGGGTTTTGTAGGCCTGTGTTTTTTAGTTTCCATAAACGACGTGCTCTAATTTAAAAAAAAAAAAAAATCTTTGCAGAAAGTTAGCAATTGAGTTTCATTATAATTGAAAGCTACAAACCTCACAGAGACACAGTTTGAGGGAATAAGGGCCCAGGGACATGGACCTCACCTGCTTGCTCAGCGCCACTGCTCAGAACCCCTGGGGGATCTACCCATCAAAGACGGGACTGCAGCTGTCTCATCCTAGGCCAGTGTTTTTCCACATTTAAAAATTCACGGCCCATTAAAAACAATGAAAATTCCATGCCCTTTTTGTATTTTGTGATGCAAAGATCATAGGATCTTTTTCATTTTCCAAATATAAAATTATGATATCAACCATGCATCTTCTTAGTACAAAGCCCTCTCTCCCCGAGTTGAGAATTGCTGTCCAAGACCCTGAAAACCCACAGGTTACTCGAGGGCAGCATCTGAGTTCCTGGGGCCCCAGAGACTCTGCCCTTTCTGTCCTTCAGCTCTGGTCACCTGGCCACAGAGAGGTGGGCAGACACATAGATGCTGCTCTGGGGAACAAAGAGGGACTTCTTAGGCACATAATTAGTTTCCAGCCTCCAAGGGTCCTGTCTGCAGAATGAATAATCAATAAAACACTGGCCCCAGGGAGCTGGATTTTAGCTGGGGAAATAGGAACAGGCTGTTTAACCAACAACAAACAGGCCTGCTCTACACAGACACGCACACACCCCCACACAGTCAGACAGCCTGTCTTACCCTTCCCCTCCAGAGCTGCGTGCGTGCGCGCGCGCGCACACACACACACACACACACACACTCCAGCTCGGGAGCTCTGCCGGCAGCCCCGTTAGAACAGCGTCCCGGTGACTGACACACCCCTCCATAAACCCCAGATCTCTGTGCCCATCAGCCCCTCTCCTCCTTCCCTTTCCCCTGAGGATTGCACTGCCTCTTTAAAACCCAACTCGGAGGGCTGTGCTCAGTGGCCCACAAAAGGTTGGGATTGTGGCTATTCAGTGGCCTTTCCCCAGGGAAGGGAGGGGAGATGAGACAGATGGGAGGCTTGTCCTGCTGCGGCCACCAAGCGAAACCCTCAGATGGCCAGTAATGAGCCAGCACTGTTCCCACCCAGCCTGCTGCTGAATGGCCTTCCTCTGTCCCTGCACAGCCCCGTGGGGGCTCTGTGGGCTCATCCATGGGGGCACCTCCCTCAATTCTCTGGTCCCCTTTCATGCTTCCAGGCTGGTGCCCCCTCCTGGCTCCCCATCAATCACCCTGTCTTTTCCCAGGCCCTCTGCCTTCTCCTGTCACAAGCTGTTGTTCCCGTGCCTTTGCTCTCTCCTTGTTTCCCCATGGGTATGTTTTGTCCTCCAGCTTGACCGTGAGCTCTTCAAGTGCTAAGAGCATGTCTTTGCTTTCCCTGTGACTGGTGCCCGGAGCAGAGCTCTGCACACACACAGGATGCTCGCTGGATGCTTAGCAAAGTAATTATTTGCTGCCACTCCTACCAGCCCAGGACACACCCACTCATCCCACCTGTGTGTCTCTCTCCTCTACAATAACCCTGTGTTCTCCACCCCAGAGGGCTTGCCTGGGCCCCTGCTCCCCATTTCCCTGTGCAGTTTCGGCCCCCAGATCCCTCTTTACAACTTCACTGGCTTTTCGTCAGCACCTCCCTGTCTCTGCCTACCTGCTGGGCAGCCCTGCTGGAGGGTGGGGACTGGCCGGATCCAGAGGGAGGAGGCCCATCTCTGTCCTTAGAGAAGTAGGATGCCCCCTCACTGGGTAATGGCTCCTGTGGAAAGACATCATGTGGGGAAGGTGCTGAGGAAAAGTGAAGGTCCGGCTGGGAAAGCACTTGAAGGGTGTGGATTTGACACTGTTGCTTAGGAGAACCCTGGGGCTTGGTCAGAGGAGCCCTGTCTTCTCTCCTTCCAACCCCCAGAGACCCAGGATTTAGCACCCAAGGGGTCATAGGCCAAAGTGAAGTTCACGTCTGAGACTCTTAAACACTTTTGGATCTCTCATGTTGAATGGCATGAACAAGGCTAGCTGCTTTTTCTGGGAGATTGGTCTCACCTAGGAAGTGTTCTGAGACCCCAGAAAGAATCTAGCACTGGAGCGTCTTTTCCTCTTGGACCCTCCCCATCAAACAGATGCATCAGTTAAGGCCAGAGCAAAATCTCGAGTTGTTTGCAGTTGCAGGGCTGGTCGGGAACAGAGCTAGGATCAGCACTGGGCTGCCCTGCCTTCTCTCCTCGAGCAACCCAGGTTTGCCGGGTGCAAGCTGTCCACCCCCACTCCTGGTGGGCTGACCTGAGCCTTGCTGGGTGCCGTGGTCCCAGTGGTGACACTGAGTAGAGGGGGCTAGTCTGAATAGCTCCCCACTTCCCTCTGTTCCTCAACATTCCTGTCACGTCTCCTGTCTCTCCTTCTGGAGTTCGGTTGACCTGTTCTCTGCTTCTCCTCCTTCTGGCCGCGTGAGGACCCCTCCTCTGGACAGGAGCTCGCTTCTGGGTTACCGCCTGCTGCGCCTGCTTGCAGCCGCCAACTAGGTAGCGTGCTCTGACCGTCTGTGCATGCCCCCCGTGTGCCCGCGCTGTCCCGCTGCGTGGAAGAGAGTGCCAGCTTCTCAGAGGCTGAGCTGGGGCCGAGACTGGCATGTGGTTGGGGTAGGGGGGCATCTCTCCCGGGCACGGGGTAACTGCCCTTCAAAGCAAGCATGGAATTTGATGGGAGAGCGGGCGAGGTAATTGTCCCTCAGGTGGGGCAGGTCAGCTTACCTGCCTGTTGGGCTGCCTAGTGGTGTCCAGAGAGCTAGTCGAGGCAGATACGTGGGTGCCAGCTGGGGCACTTGGGACAGCTGGGGGCCTCCTCACATTGCCCTGAGCTCCGTATGGGGCAAAGAGCTGCAGGTCAGGGGAACGACCTGCCTGACCACCTGTCCTGTGGGCGTGGGTGTCTTCTCCCCACAGGTGACTGTGTGCTGGGTGGACGAGGCTGGGGACAGTTCCACGCACTGCCTCTCCCCACAGGCTGAGCACGCCGGGGTCCGCACCTACTTCTTCAGTGCCGAGAGCCCCGAGGAGCAGGAGGCCTGGATCCAGGCCATGGGGGAGGCTGCCCGAGTCCAGATCCCCCCAGCCCAGAAGTCAGCGCCCCAAGCTGCATGTCACAAGTGAGTGCCGGGGACCGGGCATAGGCATGAGGACTGCTATTAGAGAGAGAGAGGAGGAGTGAAGAGGTGCCCATCTCCGTGCCCTTGCTGAGCCCAGCACGTGGACTTGAACCTCTGAGAACATGTGAACCAACTCCTTGCCTCCCAGCAGGGAGGCTGGCTAAGTGAATTCGGAGCCTGTAGTCTCTTTTCCCCTGGGCAGCTCCTCCTCTTCTCTCTGAGCTGGTGGAGGCCAAGAGAGAAGCCAGGTTCCATGCGGGCCTGGCCAGGAACCAAAGACCAGGGTCATTCACTCGTTTTGTTATGCATACAGACTTTGTGGGACTCAGGTTTGAATCCCAACTTGAACGCTTGCCCACTGTGTGACCTAAGTGTAAGTTACTTAACCCCTGACCCTCAGAGACAATAATTATAATCCTACCTCATAGGGTTGCTGTGAGGACTCAGTAGGATGGGTAAAATGCTTGACACGCAGCAAGCACTCAGCACGTGACTGCTCCTGTCACCTCACCCCGTCACCACCCGCAGTCTCGGCCCCTGTCTCTACTTGAACTGGGCATTAAGTCTTAAGTTAGATGTTAGCAGGGATCCAGCAGAAGGAAGTTTTACAGTATAGACTCCAAGTCCGTGTACCTGTCTTGAAAACGTTTACCAAGCAGTGTCTCAACAAGGATGCTTGACTATGTTGAATTGGGGAAGATGTAGCGAAAACATTGTCATGAGATTCCATCTTTGCTTTCACCAAGGGGTGGAATTCCAGATCTTCACTCATTCTTTTCATAAATATTTACTGTAAATAGAAATGTGTATAGGGTGCTAGGAAAACAAGGTAGGAAAAGTCTGACAAGCTCCTACCTCATGGAGCTTATACTCTCATAGAAAGTCCTAGAAGATGCTTGTTTGGGAGAGGGGAACTAGCTTCTCTCTATGCCTGTGAAGTTTGAGGCAACAGCTTCAGCCCCTGGTGCGCCTGCCACGTTTGATCTCACACAGTCCTACCCACCCTGCCAACGAGGAGCCCAAGACTCGTGGAAGTTAAGTAACTTTCTAAAGGAGAGAGGGCTGACCTGTCACAAACCTCTGTAGCTGAGACATCAAGGATGGTTCCGATTATGTGTAGTGTGTAGTGCACACCAAGTGACGGGGGCTGGATCAGGAACAGACTACAGGAGACACCTAGTCTGGGTGAGGTTAGTCTCGGCCATAGCTAGGAGGCTGGACTCAAGAAGTTTCAGCAGAAGGGAGTGGAGGGTGACACATGAGGAGGACCAGCAGGGCAAGATGAGCACATATGCACAGGCAAGCTTGGATTACGCTTTATAATTGCCCAGGCTGGAGCAAGTATATAAAATGGTAGGATTTAGGAAACAGAATTGGAATTCATTGAACCCTGTTTCCATCACTGCCTTCCTGTCCATCCTTCTCCACTCCTTTTCTCCTTCCCAGTTTCCCCCCACCTGAACTCCACGCTGGGCTGGAGTCCCTTACAACATCTCCCTTGGCATCCCACAGCCACGAGAAGCCAGACTCTGAGAACATCCCACCCGGCAAACACCACCACCAACCCCCCCAAAACAGCCTTCCCAAGCCTGAACCAGAGGCCAAGACTCGAGGGGAGGGTGATGGCCGAGGCTGCGAGAAGGTGGAGAGGAGGCCTGAGAGGGCTGACGTCAAGAGCGAGCCTCTGGTGAAAGCCAATGGTGTCCACGCTGGACCAGAACCAGCCTCAGACCCGGGCAGCCCTTACCCTGAGGGCCCAAGGGTCCCAGGAGGTGGGGAGCGGCCCACCCAGCCCAATGGCTGGCAGTATAGCTCCCCGAGCCGGCCGGGGAGCACAGCTTTCCCACCTCAGGACTCAGAAAGTGGGGGGCACCGGCGGAGCTTCCCCCCACGTGCCAACCCCGACAAAATCGCCCAGCGCAAGAGCTCCATGAACCAGCTTCAGCAGTGGGTGAACCTGCGCCGAGGGGTGCCCCCTCCTGAAGATCTTCGGAGGTGAGGCCTGGTGGGGTGGGGTGGAGTGGGGATGGCGTTCCAGCTGGGGGCTGGGGCTGGGGGAGTGACATGGAGGCACCCTCTGTTGGAAACCTTCTGGAAGCCAGGCTGAATTGGGAAACCAAGAAAACCCCAGGATTCCCTGCTTGCCCAGATGCTTACTAACCCCATGGTTCCCTCTGTAGAGTTTGCCCCCTGCCCCTGATTCTTGCTGTCTCTGCCTACTTCAGAGGAAGGGACAGAGCACCCAGTGCCTCTCACAGGACGTTGGGCGGCCTGAAGCATGCAGGCAGTCACAGCGAGGGGCCTTTAAAGCTGTTCCAGCCAGACATCCGTCCGTGCTTCCCACCCTTGTACAGCATCCAGTGTTTCTACCAATGTGAGACTTACGAACTGCCAAGGCAACTCACTGCGTCTTTGAAGCTCTAACTGTTTGCAAGCCATTATTTATAAGCAGTTTTTTAAAAAGAAAACCGTTGCCACTCATTGGCCCTAGTTCTTCCCAATAGACCAATTTACTTCTTTATCCAGTGACTGGCTCTCAAATATTTGAAGACATTTATTGGACCTGATTGTGTTCATCAGGGCAAGGGGGGCTGCCGCTCCTTCCCTGGGGGTCTGGGAGGGCAGCTCACTGCCCTGCCCTGGGGAGAGCGCCTCACTAGGGTTCAGTCCCAGGAACGGACTTGGTTGGCTCCTTGACAGGGTCATAAAATCAGCGAAGGCATCCCTTTGTCCCTCCTCTGTTGTCCCCCTCCAGGTGCCTGGTACACTCTAGTGTTCTCTCTGCTCTCAGCCTCTCTGGAAAGAATCTGATAAATTGGTTCATGCTGAGATAGAGATGGCTAATAAGGCTTAAAGTTTCTCCCCAGGGAGACAAAGAGACAAAGATGGAAGCGCTGAATGGTGAAATTTCTGGCCTCAGGGAACTGGTTGAGGGGGAGAGCTTTGAGGACAGGTCTTTCCTTGCACTTCTGGAAACAAGCCTCCGTGCCTGGGCAGTGGGCGCCCCCGTATGCTCGCAAGGTCAGCCTAGGGCACCATTCACCTCATCAGACCCCACTCTAGGCTGGAGGACAAAGAGGAGGGGCTGGGGCACGGGCAGGTGGCTGGGGGCGTGCCCATTTTGTCTGGCTTCCTTACAAAGTCCTCTCTGTCTCAGTCCCTCTAGGTTCTACCCTGTGTCCCGTAGGGTCCCTGAGTATTACAGCCCCTACTCCTCCCAGTACCCTGATGATTACCAGTACTACCCGCCAGGGGTGCGGCCGGATAGCATCTGCTCCATGCCGGCCTACGATCGGATCAGCCCACCCTGGGCCCTGGAGGACAAGCGGCACTCCTTCCGGAATGGAGGCGGCCCCGCCTTCCAGCTGCGTGAGTGGAAGGAGCCTGCCGGCTATGGGCGGCAGGATGGCACCACCTGGATCCCCAGCCCCTCCCGGCAGCCTGTCTATTATGATGAACTGGATGCCGCCTCCGGCTCCCTGCGACGCCTGTCCTTGCAGCCCCGTTCCCACTCTGTGCCCCGCTCGCCAAGCCAGGGGTCCTACAGCCGCGCCCGCATTTTCTCCCCCATCCGCTCACCCAGTGCCCGTTTCGAGCGGCTGCCACCTCGCAGTGAGGACATCTATGCTGACCCTGCTGCCTATGTGATGAGGCGATCCGTCAGCTCCCCCAAGGTGAGCCACCAGCCTTCCCCTCCTTCCTCAGCCCCTGAGATCCCCCGGAAGCCTAAGACGATCTGCTGAGAAGAGGTGGGGATGCAAGGGCATCTGGGGACATGGGGTCACCGGGCTGTGTCAGCAGGACCAGGGATGCTGCCCAGGGGAAGCCACTGGCCCTGCGGTTCTGTCCATAGGAGAGCTGCCTTGGGGGATTTGCCTTGCCCCTGAGTAGAAACACTGCTCTCTGTGCCCATCCCCAGGCTGTACCAGGAGCCCTAATTCTATATAAGAGGACAGAGAGGGTTCTATCTTTTCAAATCTTGAGGACCTAGACAGATTCACTGCAAGGATATTGCAATGGTTAAAGGCTGTCCATTTTAGTTTGAAATCTGCTCTGGGACAGGTTACAGACATCCCTAACCTTGAACTTCAGTTGGTGGGGAAGTCCATATCCCAGCCGGACCCCCTCACCTCTCCAATCCCCTTTCTCTTCCAGTATGATTACCTGGGAGACAGGCGGCCAGTCCCTGCAGGACTGTTCCCCTACAACTACCCACCATCCCCCACGGTCCACGATAAGATGGTACGTCCTCTCCTCCCACTCCACTTCCCCTCAGGACCTCTCCTCCCAGGGCGGGGCCAAACTAGGGCAGACGCAGGGATGCTCTGTGCCCAGTGCCTGGCCCGTCTGGTCTTTAGCAGCCTCTGGATACCTCCTCCCTCCGGCCTGGACTCTAACACCACTATAGAGAGTGGTGTCAGTTACCCCTCCTCCTCTGTGACACAGGGCAGAGGAGCAGGGACAAGATCTGGAAGCATGAAATGTCCCCATTCTCTCAGTCTCAGAACAACTCCTCTCCAGCATGCAGAGGGGCCTGGACAGGGGGCTTAGGCTATGGGCTGGGAAGAAAAGTTAAGCTAGAGCTCCCAAAACAGGCATGATCTTCTAGTCTTCTTACCCCTAAGCGTACTTGCTTCAAGCTTGTCCTTGCCTGGAATGTCACTTTGGGGGAAAGAGACTAGAAGTCAGATTGAGGAAGAAAAGATTTTCCATACTGTGTCTCCTCCTACTTTCTCTCCCCTTTCTACTTGTGTCTCTTCTGGGAATTTGTTCTCCTGAGGATTTTTGTCTCCACCTGGAGAACTCGATGCCGATGCTCCGCCTGGGGAGCTGGGGAAAACCACTGGAACCAACAGGCAGAATCCTTGTCTCCGACGGCCTGTCACTGACCCCTCTCTCTGAGTCTTCTCTGCCGGTGTCCAAACTCTATAGCCAAGACACACAGCAAATGCACCCATCCGTAAACAGTGGATTTTCCAGAAAACTCAGAAAAAGCTCCAGGAAGTGCTGACTAGATGGCTTCAGTGGTGCTCCCCTCTCCCAGGGCAGGGCCAGGCCGACCCAGGAGCCTCGGAGTGTGTCCCTTCTCTCGCCGGGCTTGTCCAGCAGACAACCTCTGTGGCTGCCCGCACCCTTCCCCCCTCCCTTCCCTAGACTCCCCAAGGCCAGAGAGGCCTCTGTTTGTCGCTGCCCAGCTAACTCTTAACTGCTTTGCTTCCTTTTTATTGTTTTCTTTTGTCCTGTTCCTGTTTGTTTGTGTTGCCGTTGGGCCTCGGGCTCCGGGTAGGATGAACTTTTAGACCTTCAATTGCAAAGAAACCTAGAGTATTTGGATCAGCAGGTAGGCAGAGCTGGTGCCCCTTACCATCCCCCTGCCCTCCCTTCACGTCTCCCTGCTCCTCCCCGCCTTCTCATCCCCCATCCATTTGACAACCTTTGTTGGCAAAAACCGGGACACAACAAAGTGGCTTATATTTTGGTTTGCGCCTTCACACCCCTTCTCTGCAAAGCCCTTTAGGGCAGCCGGGAGTTTCCTGGGGAAAGGAGAATTGTAAATTACCACATGAATAATTAATGTCACCGCCTATTTGTTCGACCCAGATGGAACTGCCCCCAGGGGGCAGGCGGGAATTTGCATTTTTGCTGGATAGAGTTGCAGAGACAGGGAGGAGCTCTGTGCTGGGGCCTCAGAGGCTAAGGATTTAGTTCAGCCTGAATCTGGGAAATTAGCCTACCCTATTCCACAGGTTGTGGTTAAACTCCACATTTTGTAAGCGAAGGACCACAGACCTGCCCTCCACTGATTTTTTAAATGATGGTAATTCGGTATATATGTTAGTTCCTCTGCAAAGTTCTTTTGTACGCACGGCTCATGTTTTCCTGAGAACTCAGTGCTGTAGGCAGAGGGAGTGTCCTCAATCCAGTGTTACAGATGAGCACCCTGAAGAGGCAATGAGTGTCCCCATGTGATGAAAGCAATCGGCTGCCTGGGCTCTCACCTTTGGCTTCCTTGCCTTTTGAGACTAAGGAGGCTGTGATACTGGGTTTAGACAGGCCAGGGGTCAATATGCTGGGCAATTTATATGAGCGCATGCTCATATTCAGATCTGTGCTACAAATCATGGGGGACCTGGATGTGTACCAGATCCAGGTGGAGGCGGCCTGGGGTGGTGGAAATAATAATGTTAGTAATAATAATAATAATAGTGGTAGCACTTACCGTAATTGTATGCTTCCTCCATGCCCTGCACCATTCTAAGCATTTCACAGATCCTAACCTTTATAACAACTCTGCAAGGTAGGTATTATTATCCCCGTTTCGTAGGGGATGTGATGAAACTAAAGCCCAGGAGATCAAATAACACGCCAAGGACACACAACCAGTGAACAGCAGAGCTTGGATATGACTCTGAGCTTTTGACTCGGTTTACAGCTGAGGAAGCCTCTGACATGTGAAGAAGCTGGGGTTGAACCTCATCAGGATGATTTTAGTCCCAGAAGGAGCATGTGGTGTTGACACCGTAAGCATTCTTGTCCCTGTGGGGATGACTCCCGGCAGGCCTTCCTCCCCGCAGCCCATCCACACTGCTGGCTTTCCAAGCATTCAGTGCAGATGGCAGGGCCCCTTCCTGGGGGCTTCTTCCCTCACAGAGGGGCTGGGGGCTTCAGAAATAACCTTTCAGAGGACCTCTTTCCTAGATAAACGATAATACTCTTAAAAGGCAGTCTTGTATGATAAGAAGAGTCCAGAACATAGTCAGACACTGCACTCTAGTTCCAGCTGTGCCATTTACAGGGATTTTTTTTTTTTTAAACCTTGGTCTCTCTGGGTCTTTGTTTTCTCAATCATGAGACGGACATTGTAGGACCTGCCCTTTCTACCTCACAGGTTATTGGGAGAGTCGAGTGAGAACGTATATGAGAGCACTTTGGCAGGCATTGATGAGGGCTAGTGATTGCTACTATGATTATTTTATTGTTCTTTTTCTTCCAAAACTCAAAAATATTAATTGACCACCCTTGACCCCAGTGCTGTGTATAAGGTACTGGGTTAGGTGCTTTCTCACGAAATTTCTCTAACGTTTCGGAGAGACAGAAGGTGGCACACAGGAATCCTCCTAGAGGCAAGGCCCACGTGGGCTGAATGATCCTGAAAGCCATAGCATGTGTGGGGGCAGGCCAGGGTGAGAAGACCCCTGCTTCCTCTATTGTTTTAGATCTACTGGTTGGGGAAGGAATGAGATCTGTGGGTGACCAAGAAGAGCCTGGGCCTCCCTTGCCCTCTCAAAGCCTGATGTGTTGGTAGGTCTGCCTTGTCCTACACACATAAACACCACACACAGGACACACAGGTATGACACACAGGCAGCCAACATAAACATACACATACCACATACAATCACACATACACCACACCGGCACACCCCATACACAACAAACACAATCTCATTCACGCACACACACACACACACACGCACTTGCGCACATGCGCGTGCACAGGCTCTAAGAAGATAAGCACTGACTTGAGTTCAGATCCTTACAGAAAATGTGGTTGATATACTGTTGACTTTTAACCATTTTGCAAAGACTCAACCTCATATTATAATTGCTCTTTTAAAAGCCTTTTAAATCACACGTTATATCATAGAAAAAATTCCCAACTGGGCTAAAGAAGTAGCAAAATCAGATCCTAGGAAAGCCTTTTTAAATGCTCTAGAGCCTGTGAATGGGGGTGGAGGGGTGCCCCTCACCCTGTCTTGTACAGCGTGCAGAAGCAAGGCTGCTTTGGGGCTGCCGCCTAAACAGGGCAAGAGGGAACTATGTGTGGGTCCAACAAAGATTGGGAAGACAAGGGCAAAAAACGTGGGGGTTCCCTGAACTGTGACCTGAGAAGATCTGCCCTAAGGTGGCTCCGTCCCGTCCCTTACTCACTGCCCCTCCCCAAGAAGCTTTTCCTGCACAACTCCCCTCTGTCTTCTGCTGCCTTCTCCTGGAGATCCATTGAGTTAAAGGGACATAGCCAAGGACACTCCCTAATATGTTTACATTTGACGCTGTCACACTGGAATCAGTGGGGGAAATGATGGCATTCCTGGTTGATTTGGTTGGCTCGTCCGTCCTCCGTCCCTCCCTGTCCCTCTCCCTCACCCTTCCTCTCTCTCTTTCGTTTTCATCTGGCAAATAGTCTTTCCCCCTCCATGTTCCTGATGATCCTTGAAGCATAAGGATAACGTGTTGGGAGAGCAGTGTTCCAGTCTCTGGTGTCCCTTTAACGTGGCTTACTTGCTTTGGCCTCCTTGTTTGCTCCCTGGCGCCATCCCAGATTGGCATGGATGCTACCAGCCCAGCTCTGGAAACCGTGTTTAGCAATCCTTTCTACTCTAGAGCAGAGGTGGGCAGGGTTTGGGAAGAGAGACCTGTGCCTTCCCAATGTGACGGCCCATCCAAAGAGCCGGTCACATTTTCTTTAACGTTGTTTCATTCAGTTCAGATTTTGGGAGATCGGACTTTCTAACTGCCTGTGTGGTCTTTGACCAAACCAGTGTGAGAAATGAGAGCCGGCCCAATGGGATGAGACCCACCACACTCAGGCGCCCTGGGGAGGTGTCACTGGGCTGGGGCCTCTTCAGAGCCACAAGCGAGGGCACAGTGGCCTCCCAGGTCCCTTCTGTGGGCTTTCCTCAAGGGCAACTTCCGTGCGGGTCCTGAGATGGAGTTCACGAGGGCTGAGTGATGGGCCAGGCCAGGCAGAAGGTGCTGGAGGCCTCAGGAGGAGCTGTCCTTTCCTGTTTCCTGGAAAGCAAGCGCAGGCGGGCGTGGGGAGACATCTCTCTGTGGGTCTGAGCTTGAATCGCCTGTTCTTCCTCTGCCGCAGACGAGTGAGAGTGAGGCTCTCCTCAGTATGGTGAACCGCGTGGTGGAGAACTCCTCCCCCAGGGCCCAGCTCTTCCTGCAAGTAAGACCTCTGCCTGGCAGCGCGGTCCCTGTCAACACCATTTTTCAGCTGCTTGTGCATGGTCGCGTCCACCCATCAGGGATGAGTCCACTCCGCCTGCCCACCTGCCAGGCCTCATCTCCCAGGCTCAGCCTGGCCTCCCTCCTTTATTTTCACTGTGTCGCCTCCATTCTTCACGTTCATGGGTGAACACAGGCCCACTTCCCAGGCCATCAAAATAGCCAGCACTGACATCTCATGCCATGCCAGGGATCGCAAGCTGCTTTTTAACGTTCAGGACTTCTCTTTCATGTTTGGTATCTTCTTAACAGTTGTTGGGGTGAAGGACATGAGGGGTGTGATATGGAACCATCCAGTGACAGAGTTGTGTAGAATGTGCTCTTGTTGCTGCATGTGTCACCAAGGGCAGGCGCCTTTGCTGGACTCAGAGACACTTCTGGTTGAGGCACAAGCCCTGGGGCTGGCGTTCCATCTAGTAGGGTGGTCGTTCTCAAATTCTTCCAGTGCTCGTTCTGTTCTCCCAGGTCTTATCCTTATCAGAAACAGCCAGGACTTAACTGTTGTTCTCATGGCTGTTACCAGTAAGCCATTTGGGAGCTACACAGCCCTGGAGGCCCTCTTGGCAGTAGATTTTCGACCTTAGCGGAGAGGAGATACAGAGCACGAGTGAGCAGCATCTCTACCTCCAGAATCAGCCCAGGACGGTTGGGGCGGAGCTTAGGCCAGGCTGTCCCACGCTTTCCGGCCAGGGGGCCAGAGCACTATAGCTCAGCCCAGGTCCCCAGAACAGATGCTGCCTGAGGCGATGGGACTGTGGTTGGTGGCAGGAACGGAGCGAGACTGTCAGCGCTCCCGTCCCTGCGTGCCCTGCCCGGGCTGCCCTCTGCTGTGGTAACCGGCCTCCTGTTCCTGCAGGTCCCTCCATACCCAGAAGTGTTCCGGGACAGCCTCCACACCTACAAGCTAAACGAGCAAGACACAGATGTAAGAACAGCTCTCCCGCTGCCCTTCTCATCCTCACTGTCCTCCGTGGGGGCTTCTCCTCCGTCCATCTCTCATCTCCTGTGGCCCTTCATACATTTCATTCCTGTCCTCTCTCACCGCAAAGACAGCATTCTTCCTGGGCCTCCTCTCGTTCTCACCACTCACCCCTACCTCCCACCATGGCTGTGTGCGTTTCTCCGCTGAGTTCGAGGCCCTCGTATCTGCAGCGCTGGCTTCTGCTTATTTCAGGAGCACAGACTTCGTTAGGAGGTAGAGCGTGTAGCCCCCAGGTGCCTGGAAAGAAGAATGAGGCCTGGCTCCACCCTCGGGGAGCTTATGGGCCGTGGGAGGCCCAGGGAGCAGCAGGCACAGGATCCATGTGCTGAGCGGACTGTAACAGGGTCTGCAGGAGTGCGGGGCAGGGGGACCGCGTGGGCTGGGGGAGGCCGGGGACAAAACAGGCGGCACGTGAGCTGGGCCTTGAAATAAAGGGCCCAGAGGACAAGATTTGGCCCACTAGAAAGTAGCCAAGCGGGTATTTGAGGAGTGGCATGGATAAAGGTGTGGACGCAGGAAAGCACAGGTCTTCCCAGAAGACAAGTTTGGCCTAACCTGCCCTGCCTAGGTAGCAGATCTGCCCAGCAGGCAGGGGAGACGCTCTGTACAGGCAAGGACCAGACCTCAGAGGGAGCCACCGTCAGCCATCCTGAGACTCTGGAAGGAGGAGGGGAGATCAGGGTCCTGTGGGACTAGGGAACCAGTTTACATTGTCCAGCGGTTTTGCTAAGACTGTTGCTCAGAAACCGGCCTATGCCTCTAATTCATACACACCTGGAGGCCTAGGAGGCGAGGCCGTGTTACCTCCTGAACCTCTTGTGAATTGGAACCCCAAGAGGGTGGGAGTGCAGAAGCTTAACGTTTGGCTCTCAGCCTTCTCCCCTCTCAAGCTGACTCATTTCCTCAGAGAATAAATTTGTCTCCCCTCCCAATGGGTCTTTGGAGAGTCCCCCAAGGTGAAGACCATCTTCCTGTTCCCAGGAGCCTCCAAGGTCAAGGTGAAGGCCCAGGGTTCCTTGGCAGGGAAGAGGAGGTGGTATCCAGAGGCCAGGCCCTGCCAACCCAATTCCCAGGTCCCTATCAAACCGTGTTCTTCACTTCCTTCTTTCTCCCTCCCTTCCCCCCTTGGGGCCCCCAGAAGCTGCTGGGCAAGTTGTGTGAGCAGAACAAGGTGGTGAGGGAGCAGGAACGGCTGGTGCAGCAGCTCCGAGCTGAGAAGGTGAGAGCCATGGGGTGGCCCTGAATGGGGCAGACGGGGGGCTGGCCCAGAGAAGGTGTGGGTTGCTATCTCCATCCTGACTAAGCTGATGAAGATTTGCCCCTCCTTAAACTTCTGTCCTGCCCTTAATCAGACCTGCTGAAGCTCTTCTGGGGACCTTAGCCAGTGTGAGGGAAACCTCCACTAAGCTGCCTGGTTGAACCCCTAGGGCTCAGGCCTCTGCTGCTGAAAGCCCAGGAGAGGAGATATCAAGGCCGCTCATAGCCATTCCCCTGCCTTTCTTCAGGAGAGCCTGGAAAGTGCCTTGATGGGGACCCATCAGGAACTGGAGATGTTTGGAAACCAGCCTGCCTACCCAGAGAAGCTGCTACACAAGAAGGAGTCGCTGCAGAACCAGCTCATCCACATCCGGGTGGAGCTGTCTCAGGCAACCACGGTAACCTGGGAGCTGGGTGTGTGCTCCCACCCTGGCCAGCACCTGCAGGGGGGAGCCACCCTCCCAGCTGTGCTCGTCTAATTCCTGTTCTCCTCTGACGGCGAGAGCAGGGTGCTGTCTGCGAGGGGCATAAACAAAGACCTTAACACTGCCTTGCAAAGAGGCAGCAAATGTGCCAGCCTGCTCATCCCATTGAGTCTCCACCAGGGAGACTGGCTTGTTTCCCACAAGCCGTATCTGCAGCAGGATTCATTCAGGACAAAGTGAAGTTGAGGGCCACTTATTTCCTTGGCTGCTCTAACAGCTTTGCTGCCCACCTTTTCCACTCCCCTGGAGAACCAGGATACCGGCAACATGCCACCCTGGTTACTTCCCAGTAGGCACAGGGCAGACCCTCTGACACAGAGAGCAGCAGCAAAAGCCCCAGGAAGTTGTGGCCCAGGGGGAGGAAGGTCTCTAACCTCCAGAGAACAGGCACCCCCAGCTCTTTCCTTTTTTGCCCTCTACTCTCTATCACCCAATCTGGGGAGAGCAGGAGGGGTGTGAGAGTGAGATTCGCCCCTTTTGGCCTGCCTGCCGTCCAGAGAGGATTCCATTTTCTCTCTGTTTGGGCATGCAGTAGGCTGGGCTGTTGCACCTCCTAAAAGGCCAGTGTTTGGCTGTCATCAGAATGTCTCAGCCCAGGGCCCTCTCCCGTCCCTCTGGTACCCGGGCCCCAGGCCCTGAGGCAGGACGAGGAGGGGCGGATTGGCAATTGCAGCTTCTCAGTAAGCCCTCCCCTTGCAGGCCCTGTCGAACAGCACCATGGAGTACGAGGGCCTGGAGGCAGAGGTCTCTGCCCTGCACGAAGAGCTCTGGGAGCAGCTCAGCTTGGACTTCCAGGTGAAGAGGCCCACAGGCAGGCGGGGCTGCTGTGTGCTTCAGGCCCTCCTTTGTCATTTTGGCCGAAAGAGACCACGGTGGCTTCCTTTCTTGCTTTAGAAATTTCAGAGACTTATGACCAGGAGTTGGTCCTGAGATGAAAGACAAGGTTCAGGGCCTCTTAAAACAGACTCTGAGTTTCAGGGTGAAGATAATGTGGGATCGTTCTTTAGTTCCATCAGATCATGGGGGAAGAACAAAAGTTGAAGCATGGGAGACTTTAACAGATATATGAATGTAAACAAGATCGTGATAAATACAAATCTCTCTCATGACATCAGAAGAGTACGCAGTGTGGGAGCCATCCACCGGGGAATTTTTAGGTGGGAAAGAGGCCTTTCTTTCTGGGATGGGTCAAAAACACTCTGCTTGGAGGCAGGAGGATGGACATTCCTGGGGCATTCTTCTTCTTTTCCTTCCTCTGTCTTTTCTCTTCCCAGGCTCTGCCCCTTCTCTAGCTCGCTTTGCAAGCCCTGTCTCTCTGACGCAGTTAACACCCTGGTTTCCCCCATTTTCCTCCTGTTTCCCTCCTGGTAACAAAACTTACCACCCAACCTTGCAGCTTGTTAGGTTAGGTTAGCCCCTGGACCAGAGGCCCCAAATGCCACCATGTTCTGTGGGCAAGCCTCACTTTCAACGCAAACATTTTGGGAGGTAGGATAGCGTCATGGTCAAGGGCACCAGCTCTTGAGACCAGATTCAGATGGTGGCCACACCGCTTACTAACAGATGGTGTTGGGCGTGAGCCTCTTCGCCTCTGAAGTGGAGACAACCGCTGTCCTTGCCTCGTAGAGGTGTTGTGCAGCCGCAGTGAGTTCATGTGTGCAAAGCACTCAGCACAGTGCCTGGTATAGGCGGGCAGGGGGGTGGGGAATGTTAAATAAAAGGTAGCTATTATTTTTCAAAGAGTGGACACTGTAATTGAGTAGAATTCATGCCTATCAAACAGTCCCACAGTATGTGAAACAAAACAGTAAACCAGAAGCTCTTGCCCCTGGAAAACAGGCCACCATCAGGTGTCCACCTACAGGGGCGCTCACTCCAAGACCACCCTGAGCTCCCCTGGGTGGGGGGCGGAATCAGAGGGACAGGTGCTCACTCTCTTCGTTCTGAGGCCACATGTTCACCTAAAAGTGCTCTTTGCTGTGATGACAGAGCCCTCTCCTCCCGCAATTCCGGAAGCCGAAGAGGCAAAGCCTGCCCATGAGAAAGATGAGTGCGCTAGAGGGATGTGCGTGTGCACATGAGCACGTGAAAGCTCCCGCCGGGACACTCCTTGGTAGCCACCTCCTTTGACCTGCTCTCTGGCTGTTTCAGAATGAGGTGCTCAACCGACAAATCCAGAAGGAGATCTGGAGGATCCAGGATGTGATGGAGGGGCTGAGGAAGAATAACCCATCCCGGGGCACAGACACAGCCAAGCACAGAGGTAGGCGCTCTCTCCACCAGCCTCCTGGCTCCTGGCCTCACCAGAAAAACCTCCAGTGTCTCCGGTCTCCATCCCACACCTGCCAACTCATACCTCTCCAGGCCTTCACACTGTGCTCAGAGCCAGTCAGGGCCTTCTCAGGGCTCCAGAAATTTCCCTCTGCCCAGAATAGACCAGATATACCAATCAGAGATGCTGTTGCATCTCGATTCCTCCCCAGAACAGGTCAAAGAGCACCTGCGCCTTCCCAGCCCCTAAGCCCATGGGCCCACTGGTGATCTGAGACCATTACCTTAGTGTCTTCCTTCAGCCCAGGGACCTTGGGCTGGCTTTCTGTGACACCTTTGAGGTAGTGGTGTCATTTCCATCCATTATCTTTTCCTGCCCAGCTCGCCTCTCAACAGCCAACCTGTGAGGCGGCCCGTTATAAGTCCCTTCAGCAGGCCCAGGTGGCCCTGAGACCCTAAATCCTCCCCTGCCTTCTCCACCTACAGAGCCCAGCCACACTCCAGGCCACACCCCTACCCCTTCCCTCATCTCTCTCCTCTTCTGTTTCCCCAAAGGAGGACTTGGCCCCTCAGGCACCTACAGCTCCAACAGCCCCGCCAGCCCTCTCAGCTCCACCAGCCTCACCAGCCCCCTGAGCCCTTTTTCATTGGTGTCTGGCTCTCAGGGGTCCCCCACTAAGCCCGGGTCCAATGAGGTAAGCTGAGATCACGGAGAAGAAGGTGGGTGGGGGAGGGAGGACTAGGTCCCCATTTGCCTGAAATTGTACAAGTTCTGTGCCCATCTCTTCCCCAGAGGCCTCCAGTCGTAGAGCTTCATCTCTGTCTAAGGTAGTCATTCTCACACCCAGTTTGGTGACCCTCCCTCCAGACTTCTCCTTTACTTGTTCTCATCTCCAACTGTCATCTTTAGTTGCCTTTCAGGGAAGTCTTCCTGAGCACCAGGATGGTTAGCAGAGACACCAGACACTTAATAAGAATTTAACTCTAGGATTGTTCTGCGGGTGAGAGGGCTGAGGGTTGGTGTGGGGGGCATTTGCCCAGTCAGCCAATCAGCAGGTGTTTTCGGAGGCTCTACTCTGTGCAAGGGACGGTATGAGACCCTCTCAGAAAGATGCCTGAGGGCCTTCACCCACCCAGCGTCCAATGGGGACCAAGACCCATTCACAGTGAACAGCCCTCCTCTGTAACGTGGTGGCATATGTCTCAATACTGAGCCACGTGGCTCAGACTGTAAATGTTCTGATGTTCCAAAGAGAGGGTGGAACTTAAACTGGGCCATGAAGCATTGGGACAGGTAGAGGAACAAGGGAAAGGCATTACAGGCTGGAGAGCTGGCGGAAGCAAAGGTACAGGGGAGGGGTGTGCCCAATGTGATGGGGAGACAATAAGGAGAGAGCTTCAGAGAAAATGGGGGACCAGTGCACAGGCGGGGGCTCAGTAGAGGAGGGCCTTGTAGGCCAGGCAGGGTTAGCTCTGGAGGTGGAACTCCATCCAGGCGATGGGTGGGAGTTTGGTGGTCCAGGGCCCCGCCCCAGGCTCCAGCAATGTTGTCGTCCGCCTCTGCTAATGCTCTTTTCTTCTGCTCTCACAGTGGCTGCTCTTGCTCCTCCTAATGCTCTGGCTTCTCTCTGCCTCAGGAGCCTGGCCCCCCGCGGCCTCCCCTCCCCAAAGCCTACGTCCCCCTGGAGTCTCCTCCCACCGTGCCTCCACTCCCTAGTGAGAGCCGCCTCTGGCCATACCCCAACTCCCCTTCCTGGCACCGCAGTGGCGAGACAGCCAGGGGTCAGGTACCCAACACCCTTGGGTCCTGGAGGGCAGGGACGGAGGGAGCGGGGCCCGGCAGGAGGCCAAGTCATTGTTCCCATCCCAGTATTAATTTTCCCACAGCTCAGTTTCTACTGGCCCTCTGTCAGACTCTGGGATAAGCAAAGGGATGGCTGAGACCCTCATACTGGTCCTCTTTCCCCTTTTTGCTTCCTGTGGACGATGAAAACATGAGTTTCCGCCCTACCCCGTGGCAGCCCGTGGCTGTAGGTGGTGGGTTCTGCCCCCCTCCCTACCAGCATGACCAGACGATGGAAATCCAGTGACACCCCCCAGCCCCCACTGGTGCCATTCCAGCCCCTTCCTGCCATTGTACACCTCAGACCCCAATCCTCCCATGCTCTCCCTCTCCCCTTGCCTGTGTCTCTGCCTTGTCTATGTCCTCTGACTCTCGTCAGCCCCTGAAGTGTAAGGATACAGACCCTTTTCTCCCCTGTTCTGGCTCCTTCTCTCACCTGGATCCCTAGCCAAGATCCAGGAGAAATATGCAGTTAGGCTTGGAAGAGGTTGCATGGTGAGTAGAAAGACTCCTCAAATAGGCTCAGCTGCTTACTGGAAATATGCACAACACTTGAGGGTCTGCCTAGTGAGGTGGGCATAGCAGGTATCATTGCCTCGGTTTTACGGACAAAGAAAGGTGATAGGACTTACCCATGCTCTGTAGTTGGGCCAGAGCTGGAGTTTGTGACCTCTGGTCTAGTCTCTCTGCACTCTCCTCACTGAGACTTAATTCTTCATCCCCGTGGGAGGGGATGGCTCAGATGATGTCTGAGGTCCCTTTCTAGTCACATGATTCTGTGAGACCACAACCCAAATGCCCTTTTCCTTCCCACAAAGCTCATCTTATTCTTGTGCTCAAGTCTTGGGTGGGATCCCAACAGAATCCACAGATAGCCTTGGCCTTGTAGCCCCCTCCTCCAACCATTCGTCCTCTGGCTCACAGCAAGTCTGTGCTTTTCATGTTTGCCAGGAGGACTGGTTGGGCTGAGGGATCTCTCTGATGGGCCTCAACGGAGGCCCTCTTGGAGGCCCTGAGCCCTCCAGTGTATCCTTGCCCACTTCCCAGCTGGCACACACAGTTTCCCTGCCCCATGTTTTTTCAAAGGTTTGCACTCCCACCACTGCAAAACAAAGAAACACCACCAGGGACCCAATTCTCGGTGGTCACTCTAGCACCATCCATCCATCTTCTCATCCCTTCTCCCTAGCCTATGGCAAGCTATGAGCAAAGCAAGAAAGACCCCCACCAGACCTCACCCCTGGACACCACTAGAGACGTCAGCCTTGTGCCCACCAGGCAAGAGGTGGAAGCAGAGAAGCAGGCAGCTCTCAACAAAGGTACTTCCTGTTCCATCCTCCCCTGGAAGTGAGGCTAAGGGTCAGAGAAGAGCCCAGACTGGTGCTCGCTCACATCCAAGGAGGTGCTTCCCCACCTGGGCCTCTCGCCTCCATGGAGGGCGGGACTGAGCCTCTCTGAGAAGCAGGCTGCCCTGTGTCCCTTTTTATGGGACCCACTGGCTACTGTGTCTCCCTGCAGTTGGCATTGTGCCCCCTCGGACAAAGTCACCCACTGATGAAGAAGTGACCCCATCAAGGGTGGTGAAGAGGAGTGCCAGCGGGCTCACCAATGGACTCTCCTCCCGGGTGAGTGCACGCCCGCAGGCCCCGAGAGCTCGTGCAGGCCTGAGCTGGGCTGGGAGCCCAGGGGCCTCCGTGTGTCCACCTATCTGTCACTGTTCAAGAAACCCAGGACTAGAGGAGGAAGGTAGAACAAGAAGAAAGAAGGCAAGCGGAGGAGTTCTCCTTCAGGGAGACGTCACGGGACAAGGAAGCTATACATAATAAAGATACAAGAATATTTAACAAAATTATTGTAATGTGCCAGTGATGAAATACAAACGCAAAAGTCAGTGGTCAGAGTCAAATGTGCTGACCAGAGGCACCGTGTTAGTTTCCTGGGGTTGCTAGGAAGTTAACAAAACACCACAAACTTGGTGACTTAAGACAATAGAAGCTTATTCCCTCACCGTTGCAGAGGCCAGCAGTCCAGAATCAAGGTATCCGCAGGGTTGGTTCCTTCTGGAGGCTTGAGGGAGCCTCATTCCATGCCTCTCTCCTGGCTCTGGCTGTTGCTGGCAATCTTTGGCTTGTAGACGCACCCGCACCACCCCCCCCAACTGCTGTCTCCACCTTCACATCACCTTCTACTCTACGTGTCTTCTTTTTTTCTGTTTCTTATAAGGACACCCATTATTCGGTTTAGGGCTCACCCTAATTGAAGATGATCTCATCTTGAGCTCCTTAACTTGACTACACCTGCAAAGACCCTATTTCCAAATAAGGTCACATTCACAGGTACTGTGGTTAGGACTTGGATATATCTTTTGGGGTCCACTCTTCAACCCATTACAGGCAGGCTTCCCAGAGAAGGGAAATTTTAAGGGATTAGGGCAGATGAAAAATCTGGGTGGGAGGGTGAGGCACCAGTCAGAGCCCCATTCTCCCACTACAGCAGGAGCGCCCCAAGAGTGCTGTGTTCCCTGGCGAGGGCAAGGTCAAGATGAGCGTGGAGGAGCAGATTGACCGTATGCGGCGGCACCAGAGCGGCTCTATGAAGGATAAGCGGAGGAGCCTGCAACTCCCGGCCAGCCCGGCCCCTGACCCCAGTGCCCGGCCCGCCTACAAAGTGGTAACGTCCTCCCAGCCCCCACAGGCATGGCCTGGCATCTGCCAACACTGCCCACGCCCAGGTCCCCACCAGCCTGGCCTGGAGGGGTTGCAGGGAGGGAGGAGGTTTTAGTCAGGGAGAGACCAGGAAGGACCCAAGCTGGGCGCCTGGGAGACCTGGGGGACGCTTGTCCCCCACTGGGCAGAGGAGATACTACAACAAGGGTTTCCTTTTTTGTGTGTTTAAAGAAAAATAATTCACGAGAAAGGAATGCCTTGACTATTTTGGCTGAAATGAATTATACAAAATTCAGTTAAGAGAGGTTAGTACAAAACCTGCAACCTAGAAGTAGGCGTCACTTGTTTCTAGAGCATTTCCTATGTGCTTAACATTGGGCTGGGGGTTACTGAAGGTAATCATAGCTCAACATCACATGGCACAGTACAAGTCACGATCCCTTTCATGTTATTTCATTTAGTCATTTCAAGGATGCTGGATTAGGAAGTATTACCCCCGTTTTAGAGATAGGGAAAAAAAGTCATGAGAAATTAAGGGATCTCTGGGCCACACAGCTATTAAGTGCAGAGCTGGGAGTAGCCCAAACTATTGGCCTAATTTTTCTTTCCATTAAATTTCAGAAATACAAGAAAAATTATGGCCCATGAGTCCTGCCCTCAAACAGTTTACATTCTAATTGGTGGACTAGAACTTCTAGCATATGAAAAAATTAGAGATCGATATAAGACACACCGATTCAGTTGCCCAAGATATTATATATGGTACAGGATGTGAGCACAGGTACAGCAGGATGGGGACAGAAGACAGGAATGAGACTTCGCCTTGGGGCCCTTGTAGGTGAGCAGGCTTTGGACAAGCAGCATGGAAGAAGGATAGCTCAGCAGTGGGGGGTGGCCAGGTCAGGCATGCTAGGCAGGGACAGTGAGGACACGGGCATGGTTAGGGCTGCCTGGAGGCGTGGGTAGCAGTGGAGGTGCCGCTGGCAGTGGGACAGAGGCCCCGCGTGGTCACGACGGTGCTGCCGCCTAGGTGCGCCGTCACCGCAGCATCCATGAGGTGGACATCTCCAACCTGGAGGCAGCTCTGCGAGCAGAGGAGCCTGGTGGGCAGGCCTACGAGACACCACGGGAGGAGATTGCCCGGCTCCGCAAAATGGAGCTGGAGCCCCAGCACTATGATGTGGATATCAGTAAGGAGGTGAGCAGAGTCCAGGAGGGGCCGGGCGGGGGGAACCCCAGGAAGGAATAGAGGCGGTGACCTCGGTCCCTCCACAGCTCTCCACCCCAGACAAAGTCCTCATCCCTGAGCGGTACATTGACCTGGAGCCTGACACTCCCCTGAGCCCAGAGGAGTTGAAGGAGAAACAGAAGAAGGTGGAGAGGATCAAGACGCTCATTGCCAAGTCCAGGTAACAGACCTTGGGGTGAACCTCCACTTCCTCTACCCACCCTGGCTCCTAGGGCACCTGGGGCACTAGTGCCACTGCATCCAGTGCCCGGACTCATGCGGTTGGGGTTCCTGAGCCTCCCCAGCAGAGAGCAAATGGAAGCAGTGGTTCCAGGCAGCGGACCGGTCCCAGGCACGTGGCAGGGCTGGTGACGCTGCCACCGGTGCCAGAAAGACCTACTGGGCTCGTGCACGCGCTGTCATCAAGACAAACTGATGGGTTGCCCTCCGGTGACTTCTTTTCCCTGTCAGGCCTGCCCTAAATATTCACTTGACCCTTCTAGTTCATTTCTAAATGGTGCAGGTCCCAACACGCGTTTTGCTAGGGTCCCACTCACCCCAGGGGACAGGCTTGCTGGGAACCGGAGCCTGCACGTTCACAGGCCCCTGGATCCCTGCCAACCTCAGTCTCCAGGCCCCCCAAGCCAGTCGGACCATCCTGTCCCCCCCTCCATCTCTGTGTGTCTGTGCCTCTTTAGTATGCAGAACGTGGTGCCCATCGGCGAGGGGGACCTTGTGGACGTGCCCCAGGACTCAGAGAGCCAGCTGCAGGAGCAGGAGAAGCGGATTGAAATCTCCTGTGCCCTGGCGACCGAGGCCTCCCGCAGGGGCCGCATGCTGTCTGGTGAGACGGGCTGGGCCTCGCTCCGCCAGGGAGACCGGCTGACCAGGCGTAGGGGAGGTAGTGCAGTGCGGCAGGGGGCCAGGGACAGAACAGGGCGATGTTCCTTGAGGTCAGAATGAGCGCTTATTGAGCGCCAGGGGCTGTGCTAGTCTCAGGGGGTGCAAAGGGGCCAGAGTTGCTGACATCTGGGAGCTCAGAGCCAGGATGACCCGCCTAGCTGCTGGACAGAGAAATGGCCAGAGGCCATGCGGGGAGCACAGGGAGCCATTCTACCTGGGCAGGTCCAGGAAAGGCCCAGAGAAGAGGCGATAACTGAGCCTGATTGGAAAAGATGCAAGTATGTACCAGTGGTGGAGCGAGGGCCAGCTATTCCAGGGTATTCTCTGACTTCCCATTCGTGCTGCATGCAAATAGCAGGAATGGAAAGGGAAGATGGTACAAGCAGCCAATACAGTCACCACCTTGGCTACTGACCCAAACCCACTTTTCTGCTAAGAAAAGATGAGTACAGGGAACTGACTTCACACTGATACAAAGGCTAGTGGGTCTTAGTGGACACTATGGGGTTGCAGCCAATAGGACTCACTTCCCCTCAGCTTGAGGAGAAGCACCCCGGAATAGAGGAGAATGTAATTGGGAAGAATAGAAGAGACCCTATGAATGGGAGGCTTTGAGGTGGAGGAAGGACAGTGGTTAAGTCATTAGCATGGGAGACGATATTCCCCACTCCTGAACACGAAAGGTGCTTAGGAGGGAGAGGGAAGAGGGGGGGGTTCTGAAGGCCAGTCCAGACGAATGCCCTGGACGGATGCCAGGCTTGTGATGACTTTGGTTGAGTGGGCAGAGACAGGTTGTGCCAGCCAGAGTTATGGTAGCCTGGGCAAGTGTCAGATTAGAATCGTGGCTGGACGCACAGAGGAGGGAATGGCGTTTCATGTTGGTGACTTGGAGCGTTTCAGTTTTTGCTCTTTGAGGCTCGATTTCCTCATCTGTAAAATTCAATCTGTGTGAGGATGAAAACAAGGTGAGCTAAGCATCTAGCACCATGTCTGTCACCCAGTTACTGCTCAATAAATGCTAGCCGGCTGTAGTAGCAGTAGTGCTGGTGCTGTGCTGGTATTAGTTGAAATAGCAATAGCTAAAGTAGAAATAGGAATGTTTTGTGGGGTTTCTAGCTATTTTAAATATGGATATTTTCAGAAACCAGAGGGTTTTAGGCTACAGCAAAGGAGATTTAAGTAAGCTTTAAGGAAGAACCTACTAGCAGTTGGCATATAAATGGACATTAGAACGGGTGGCCAGGGAAAGCCCTTGGAGATACTTCAGAAACAGGCTTTCAGGTGGGCAGGAGTTGAGGGCAAGAGAAGGGATGGGCTTCAGAGAGCCGCATCTTGCAGCCAGAACCGAAGGCAGCAGAACCAGTTTGGCTACAAGGAGTCTTCTGTCAACCGCCCTGTAGTTTACCTGCAAAATGAACTCGAAGCTTCCAAAGATCAAATTCCACATGCTCTGGGCAAAAGGCAACTTCCTATTTCAAGGGTTAGAGCATACAGCACTGTTAAAACTTCCCTCTGCCCCTTGCCCTGTCCCAGCCCCTGGCTCTCTCTTCTATAGCTCCCGCGCCAAAGGTGCCACGAAAACAAAACCCACCCTGGCTCTTCAGATTCCCCCTTGATACCCATGGGCTTATATTTCAGGGTCAGTGTGCTGAAAACAAATGGTCACCTTGCTTTTGCCGAGACCCCAACTATTTAAAAAATGGCTGTGGCAGGGCCAGACCTCAGACTTAGCCCACTGTCCCCACCACCCCTGGCCTATGGCCCAGATTCCCAGAGCTGCAGCTCTGCCAAGCACAGCAGGCGCTGTAGGGGGGGAGTGCTGGGCACAGGGGGCATGAGGACAGTGCAGCGGGCAAGGGATGTAGTTAGTGCCTGAGTGGGGGTGTGGGGCCTGGATGCTGTGGTCGGTGGCGAGCTTGTAGCAGTTGTCGGTATACCTGGTGTGCAGTATCTGGGAAGATGCGGCAATTTTAAGTTTGTATGTGTGGCGTGATGTCATTGCAGTGTCTGTATTGGGTAATGGTTGTAGATACATACGTATGGGTGCATATACACGTGTGTTATGTGTGGGTGGAGGGAAAGTTTGAGGACAAATATAGGAGTGTGTCTGTGTGTGCAAAATGTCTATGGGTGTTGAGCGGAGACCCATTATTTATGAGTACAGATGACGTTTGGGAAGCTGTTGACGTGAGTGTACAATACACGGGTGGAGGTAGTGCTTATGAACGCACACATGTACGTGTGATAGACTTTCTGTGCAGTATGAGGAATGATAAAGAGTATTTGTGTATATGTCGCGCACAGTGTATGTACTGCACATTTGTGAACACACACCTGTGTGTGCAGGATGGAGAGAGCACAGCCTCATGAGTGTGAGTACATATGACCGATTATGCCTGCAGATGTGGTAGCACTTGTGAACACACAACTGTAATAGCACATCTGTCCAATGCCTATCCACTGCATATGTGAATTTATTTTGAGGGATATATTCCTAATGTGTTTAGTATTTTTCTGACTTCTTAAAGAGGTTGTATTTAGCAATCAATCTTTCTTGCTGTCACTCATTTAGTATCATTATAAACGTCCTTATTTTGCTGACCTCTGTGGAAGGGATGCACTTGGGGGCCGTAATCCATACAGATCTGTTTGTAGCCCTGCTAAATGCTACCAAACTGTTACACATTTTTTTGGTAATAGATCTTTATTGGAGTATAATTGCTTCACAGTACTGTGTTAATTTGTGTTGCACAACAAAGGGAATCAGCCATACGCATACACATGTCCCCATATCCCCTCCCTCTTGAGCCTCCCTCCCACCCTCCCTATCCCACCCCTCCAGGCGGTCACAAAGCACCGAGCTGATCTCCCTGTGCTATGCGGCTGCTTCCCACTAGCTATCTACCTTACGTTTGGTAGTGTATATATGTCCATGCCACTCTCTCACTTCGCCCCAGCTTCCCCCTCCCACCCCGTGTCCTCAAGTCCGTTCTCTATGTCTATGTCTTTATTCCTGCCCTGCCACTAGTTTCGTCAGTACCAGTTTTTGTTTTTTAGATTTCATTTATATGCGTTAGCGTACGGTATTTGGTTTTCTCTTTCTGTCTTCACTCTGTATGACAGACTCTAGGTCCATCCACCTCATTACAAATGACTCAATTTAATTTCTTTTTATGGCTAATATTCCACTGTATATATGTGCCACATCTTCTTTATCCATTTGTCTGTTGATGGACACTTAGGTTGCTTCCATGTCCTGGCTATTGTAAATAGAGCTGCAGTGAACATTGTGGTACATGACTCTTTTTGAATTATGTTTTACTCAGGGTATATGCCCAGTAGAGGGATTGCTGGATCATATGGTAATTCTATTTTTAGTTTTTTAAGGAACCTCCATACTGTTCTCCATAGTGGCTGTATCGATTTACATTCCCACCAACAGTGCAGGAGGGTTCCCTTTTCACCACACCCTTTCCAGCATTTATTGTTTCTAGATTTTTTGATGATGGCCATCCTGACCAGTGTGAGGTGATACCTCATTGTAGTTTGTTTTTTTTTAATAAATTTATTTATTTTATTTATTTATTTTTGGCTGCGTTGGGTCTCCGTTGCTGCGCATGGGCTTTCTCCAGTTACTGTGAGCAGCGGCTGCTCTTTGTTGCGGTGCGTGGGCTTCTCGTTGCTGTGGCTTCTCTTGTTGCAGAGCATGGGCTCTAGGCGCGTGGGCTTCAGTAGTTGTGGTGCACGGACTTAGTTGCTCCGCGGCATGTGGGATCTTCCCGGACCAGGGCTTGAACCCGTGTCCCCTGGATTGGCAGGTGGATTCTTAACCACTGCGCCACCAGGGAAGCCCCCTCATTGTAGTTTTGATTTGCATTTGTCTAATAATTAGTGATGTTGAGCATCTTTTCATGTGCCTCTTGGCCATCTGTATGTCTTCTTTGGAGAAATGTTTTAAAGTTATTTTGTCTACTTTTTACAGAAGATTTTCTCTCTTCAGTTGTGCCTTATATAGATGTCAGTGGGCCTCTCAATTCCTCTCTCTCTCTCCTGATTTTCCTGTTTCTAATCTCTCATGGGCTAGAATCTCAGCAAGTCAACATATATCAGAATGGTGTATAAATAAGAGTAACTGGACTCCAAGGAGCTCTTCAATGAATAAATTGTAAGAGCTTCACTGCATGTACATTGTAACATCTATTTGGCTTCCTTGAGATCTTCCTTGCTTAGGTTTTGATTTTTTGACTCTTTTAAAAGTTGAAGTTGCCAGGCAACTAACCATTATCTGTGATACGGACATGCACACGAATGTGTGTTTTGAAAGCATTTGTGTATGTATTTGTATGGCAAGTTACAAGTGTGTTGGGTCATGTGCAAGGCACAGGTTCAGAAGTGCCCATACACACACATCTGAGTTACGTGTGCTGAGTAGAAAGGTTTCGTATTGCTGGATCCCATGCACGGACTGTGGATCACTTCCTGTTGGGGAGAGCCCTGCGTGTCTTATGTATGTATGTGGGCGTGTGTAGATATGTGTGGGGCTGCATTGGCCCTTTCTCTTGTGCAGAGGCCAGGGAAGGTGATGAGGTCCAGGGTAGGGTGGGAGCAAGAGACTGGGAAGTTCAATGCCAGGATCCCTCTCTTGGGGGAAACACAGTGTGACCCTGGCTGAGGTCTGGTTCTTCTCTGAGCCTGAGTGAGGATGTTCTCTCACAGCTGCACCAAGGGTGCACAAGGGTCCGGAGACGGTGCAGAGCTTGTTCCTAACAATACGACTCCCCTTTCCTTGTCCTTCATTTTGCTGTTCTCAACGTGAAATAATAATGATAATACAGTAAAATCTCATTAATTCTAATGTCAGCACTTTAAGGCCTTTAATGATCTGTTTAGGGGTGGATTGGAATTTGCCTTTCCTGGATTGATGAAAAGAGCTATTAAGTGACTGTGGGGAATCGTTTCTGAACCCTCCAGCCTAAGTTAACCGACTGGCTTGAAGCCTGTCGGAAACCTGTTTGCATGGAGTTGGTAAACACGGTGATCACTTGGACTGAGTCACTGGATGAGGGTCTGATGATCTGTACTAGTGTGATTTTACTGCACTATGAATCATGGTCACTAGCGATGTCACTGCCTGTGAGGTGCCATCCCCCGTTCTGTTCCACAGTCGTGGAAAGGTACGTGTGTCTCTCCCGGTTGCAGGGACGGAAGCGGAGCCCTGGGCTCAGAGGGGCTGGGCCTCGCCCACAGTCACACTGGCTCTCAGCAGAGCCTGGACTGGGCCAGGGCTCCTCTGGGGCCCCATGCTCTCCTCCATGGCGCCCCTGGAACCAGGCCAGCTCTGCCTCAGCTTGAACAAGTTCCCAAACTCAGCTGTCCTGCTTGCCTCCTGCCTTTTGCTCCCCGCACCGCATGGAGGGGGGCCTCGCTTGCTCTGGGCGCCCAACCTCCCTCCTCCCACCCCCGGCCGCCCCTATTCACTTCCCTGTTCATTTCTGTTTCCAGTGCAATGTGCCACCCCAAGCCCTCCCACCTCCCCTGCCTCCCCGGCTCCACCAGCCAACCCCCTATCGTCTGAATCCCCACGGGGCGCCGAAAGCAGCCATGCCATGCGGGTCTGAGCTCTGACGTAAGCACTTTTCTACTGTATTTCATCCAGCCCAGGGAACGGGGACCCCTCCCCTCACCCCCACTGAGCCATCTGCACCGTCTTGTTCCATCCGGCACTGCTTCTCCCCTCACCCCAGTGCCCCTTGTCGCTCTTTCCCTTCCATCCATCTGCTTGAGCCCGCAAGCGTCCCCAGCGCAGTGCCGGGCTAGAGCCGGCTGGCAGGGCCGCTTCTTGGATGCTGCAGTGCCAGTGGCTTTGCTTCTCCAGAAGCAGACGGGAACAGAGCTGAGGCCTCTCCTGTCCGCTGTCTGAGGGACTGCCCTGACTCCCACCCCTGCACTTCCTGTCGGCCAAGAAGCTGGTCATCTTTTGAGATACACAGCAGTCCTGCCTCAGAAGCTGCTTGTCCCAGATCTTATTTCTCCCAGATCACTCCCAGATCTTACTGTAAATTAAAATAGCCCTGGACGATTCTAGGCAAAGGCTGTGTCCCTTCTTTCCCCCTAGCACGCAGCTGCTCAGGATCAGGCAAGTGCGCAAGAATTGACTTCTACTCGTTTGTTTCCCTCTCTCAGGGTTGAGGGGGTGGGCGGGTTTCCACAGGTTTTTGCAAGGCAAGACTTCTCTCTGGGAAGGGTGGGCTGGAGGGTCTGCCCCTCTGTGCAGCGCTTTTCTCACCCGTGTCTCTCTCCTCCAGTGCAAGCCCTGGCTGAGGCCAATGCCGTGAAGCTCCACAGAACCACGTTCTGAAGCCTGCCTCTGCCCATCCTGGCCCCCTGGCCCCCCGCCCCTGTGCTCCCATGGGAATGCCACAGAGAGCCAGGCTGGGGGCCAGGCTTCTGCCGAGAGGAGCACAGATGCCTCGGTGTCCACATACCCACGGCACCCGGCCCTGAAGTCCTTGCTGCTCAGACGGTGGTCCTAGGCCAGGGCGTGAGATGGTGGGGCGAGGAGCGCCATCCTATCTGATGCCCACGGCACAGGGAGCCTAGGTCTGGCTCTAACTGGGGTTGTGATGGCCCTACTGGAACACTCCCTGATGGAGAAGATGCCCTGGTGGGGAATGCGCCCTGGGCTATCTTAGGTTAGGACTCCTCTCTTGACACCGAGAACAGCACCCACCATCACCCCCTTCCCCCATCAACCCCGCCGTCCTGCCCCAGCTGTGCCCAGGGTCTTGGCACACCTCTGCTTATGGGTACTCCTTTGGGGTCCAGTGGAGACTGACCACCCTGCCTGAGCCAAAGGCAAGATGATGAGAGATGGGGAGAGGCTCCTCGGCTCCCAGAAGACAGTGCTGGCTGTGGATAGAGAGAAGCAGGTCTGTGCAGTGTCTGAGGGCAGGTTGAGAAGGGTAGCAGAGAGAGAGGGAGAGGTCTCAGGACAGTGGGAGGAAAGGGAAGCAGCAGGACTCATGCGCAAGTAGGAGGAGGAGGACGGAGATGAGAAGGGGTAAGGGATTGGTTTCCCCAGGGTGGAACCTTAGGTTAGTGCCAAGTACAGTGCCAGCTGTTGGCTCTGCTTCTCCCACCTCGTCCCCAGGATCAGCGGGGCTGCCAGACCGAGGACCTGCCGTGGAGCACACTGCTGTGGGCATGGAGGTGTGAGCTGAGGGCCTGGGCAGCAGCAGCCTGGGAGATGGCTCCTTCTAGGTCTGGGCCTGGTTCTGGGGTCAGGAGCAGAGAGAAGGACCTGTCTTACGGAGGGTGTGGTCAGCCTTGGGGCCTTTCCTAAACATTTCTGTGACATTATCTTGTCTCCCTTCCCCCTGAAATGTGCTGTGGGCCAGCTGAGCGTGTGCCCTGGAAAGAGGGAATGTGGCCTTAATCTGGTAGGCCAGATTCTGGGGCCCTACGCTGCATCCCAGGCATTCCAGGCATCCCAGATGAGGACAAGCTGAGGTTGTATGGAAGGTCTCCCTTCTAGCTTGGCTCACTCACAACCCACCTACCCAGGGAGCCAGTAGTGGAGAGACAGAAGCAAAGCCCATTCTCCCTATGCTCCACCCACCTTCAGATGAATGTAGCCAGAGAGGATGGAGGAGAGAGAGTGAAGCTGAAAAACCTTGGCCCCTAGGCCTTCTCTTTGCCAGAGTTGCTGCCCAGAGACTTCATTCTGACCTCCAGCGGCCCCAGGAATGATTACTTCATCTTCCAACAAT